TATATCCCACTATTTTTTGTATGGATAATTGTTAGCCCTATTAATGTTGCATAAAAAATAAAAACATTAAAAAAAATTGTAAAATAACAAAATTATTTATATTGTAAAATAAATTCAATATTTGGAAATAAATTAAATGAAAAATTATGTAAACTTGATATGCGGGAAAAGAGTTCAGCATTTAATATTTATGCAGTGAAAAAAGATATATATAATAAATTTGAATTTAATATAAAATTATAGATTAAACAATAAAATATTTAAAATTATAAAAATACATTTATAGTCAATAAAAATTATTTCAAATTTCAAATTTAAAAGAAAAAAAATAAGAAATGGCATAATTTATAGTTTACTAAAAATAAATTAAAATTGTAACATAAAAATTTTAAATATACATGTATAACCAATTAAAATAATATACATGTATTTTTAAAAAAAAATATTTAACATAAAAATTTTAAATATACATGTATAACCAATTAAAATAATATATAAAAATCATAAATTAAAATAGAAAAAAATTGTATAAAAAATATGTATAATTAATATAAAAAGTTTTAAATTTTAAATTTAAGTAAAAAATGACGTCTGTCATTCTGTAAAAAAAATTATTAAAATTTAAGAACTATAAAAATAAAAATTTTAATTTAGTACATAAGAAAGAAATTAAACTTTCATTTTTTTATTGCAAGAGTGTAATTAACACAAATACTTGCAAAAAATAATTATTTATATAAAATGCTGACAGTTAGAGGTGAAAAACTGGGCTCGGTCTGGAGGGCCGGCCCGCAATATATTTTTATAATTCAATTGAAATTTTATTTTTCTTCTTTTATAATTAAATTACTAAATCTGATTTCAATTTTTGTAAATACAAATTTGTGAAATTCCAAAGACTAACGACACTAATCCTTGCAAAAAAAATTATTTATATAAAATGCTGACAGTTAGAGGCGAAAAACTGGGCTCGGCCCGGAGGGCCGGCCCACTAATATACTTTTATAATTCAATTGAAATTTTATCCTTCTTCTTTTATAATTAAATTACTAAATCTGATTTCAATTTTTGTAAATACAAATTTGTGAAATTTCAAAGACTAACGACACGAATCCTTGTAAAAAAATTATTTATATAAAATGCTGACAGTTAGAGGTGAAAAACTGGGCTCGGCCCGGAGGGCCGGCCCGCTAATATATTTTTATAATTCAACTAAAATTTATCTTTCTTCTTTTATAATTAAATTACTAAATCTGATTTCAATTTTTGTAAATATCAATTTGTGAAATTTTAAAGACTAACGACACAAATTCTTGTAAAAAAATAATTATTTATTATTATTTTATAAATCTGATTGTAGTAAATGAAAGTTCATCTCTGAGATAAAATATAAAAACCTAGACGCAACTATAAAAATCTTTTTTTGTGGAAATATAAAAATCTTTTACATGCTTATAGTTAGAGGTGGCAAACTGGACTCAGCCCGGAAGGCCGACCCACAAACACATTTTTATAATTAAATTAAAATTTCATCCTTCTTCTTTTATAATTAAATTCCTAAATCTGATTTTTATTTTCGTAAATACAAATTTGTAAAAGTTCAAATACTAACGACACAAATCCTTGCAAATAATAATAATTTATTATTATTTTTTAAATGTGATTACAATAAATGAAAGTCTATCTCAAAGATTAGTGTAGTTATTTTTATTTTGTTCATATGCATTTGTTGCAATGTAAGCAAAAAATATGACTTATACATGCTTATTTGATTAAGTTGCATTCATATCCCGTTCAGACAACATTTTTTTTGGTCCTTAAAAAAATTTAATCCAATCTTTTTTTTTTGCCGATACTATGACTTTTGGGTGTTAACATATTAGTGTTACTTATTTAATGATTTTTTGCCTTCTGTATCGTTGGCACAAGGAACAAAAATCACACAAGAAATGACATATTTAGTAAGTGTTGAACTCATCCTTCCAATGATTGCTAAGAAATGACATTGAATGAATATCGTTTTCATATTATAGGTAAAAGCTGATATTTTAAATCCATATTTACTTGGTGTTATTGTTACCTTGATTTTGTTGATGAATGTTATAGTTAACAATGATTGGTACGCATTTTTTTATATCCCTTTCTCATGTTAACATGGTGTATTATAACGTATTATGGTGTATTATGATGTAGTTGTATGCAAAATTAATTATCCCTCTGAATAACAGATTTTTGTTTGTGGTTGATATTTGCAAAACTCTGTGTCAATGCTGTAATTTTTTTTACCTGATATTATAACGTATTATGGTGTATTATGATGTAGTTGCATCGCACGGGTAATATACTAGTAATATAATAATATAAACATTTATCAAACTCTTACACGTAAGAGAAGAAGTAGGCATAACGTAATAATCCATAATGGAAGGATTATTATATAAATAAGTATATTTGTAACTAAGTCTTTGTCACTAGGGGTGTTAACGGGCCGAGTCGTGTCGATCTTTGGTCTTAAAAGGTTAAGTCTGTGTTTAAATATGCTAGCCTGACCAAGCCTATTACCTGTTATAAATATAATTATCGGCTTGTGGCTTGACTTATTTACAAAAAATAAAAGCCTGATTTAGCCTGTTTGAAAAAAATAAGATAACAAAATTTTATCCAAACAGAATATACAATCAACAACATTAGTAATTTCAGAAATATTCATAAATTCAATGTATATCCAAACAATATAATATAGAACAATATCATTCAAAAAGTTTGTTTAACCAATAAAGTAGGGTGAAATGGATTGAGGAGAAATAGAGCTATTACAAGTAGTATAAAAAAAATATAAAAAATATATATATATATACTAGGCCAGCCTGAGAGGCTCTAAGGCCGAGCTTTTAAATTAGAGCCCGATGCCTTTTTATTGAACGATCTTTTATACAAGTTCAAGTCTTGTGCCAACAATCAATTTTAGACATGTAAGTTCAGACCTTCACGAGCCGAGCCAAAGGCCCTTGATTCGTTTAGCACGCTTATTTGTCACTATATGAATATATATTTTTAAGGACATCCTATTAGATTTAGAGAAAAAAATTTCTGCAGTTACTGCAGATAAGTTATCTGCATTTATTTTCAAAACGACGTTGTTTTGATATTGAAAAATAAAAAATTTATAATTATAAAGACTATAATAACCCTAAAATAAATTAAAATTATAAAAATATCATGATTTTCATCCCAAAACGACGTCGTATTAAGCTTACTGTAGATAACTTATCTGCAGTAACTGCGAAAAAAACGAACTCTTAAATTTAATATAGACGTTTTAAGTTTTTGTGACAATTCTATAGAATAAAAATCATGACTTCAATAGATAATCCTAAAATTATGTTTTAATTTCATGTAGTTATTGTATGATTTTACTTACATATTATTAGTTGTCTATCACAATTGATGGGGCTTTAAAGTTCAACAAGGAAATTATGGCATTGATGAAGCAGTCCCATGTACCAAAAAGAAGGAAAGACACGTACAACTATAATGTTCGAACTACCAATAATACATTATATATATTGATAAGTGGGGGCGCAATCGACGACGATGCATTATACCAAGTCCATAATTTTAATTTAAGAGAAAATAATGACTTCAAGTCCTGGATTAATTGGTTGCGAATAAATTATTATGATAGGTGCCACTCTGTCCTTCGCCAACCTCAATTTGCACAAACAACTTGTTAGGTTTTCGATACGTATGTTGGGTCTGGACTCCGGAGAATTAGTATCCGCCTCAATTTTAGACAAAACTGGATACTTCTTGCTTTTTCAACTAACGAATTTTTTAATGATGGCTCGGCTACAACCGTTACTTTTATAATTTTTCTTCTTCTTTAAATATGCAAATACACAAGTTTAACATGAAACGCCAAAAAGTCAAAGCGTGTTTACATACAAATTTAGATAAAGAAAAAAATTTGAAAAAAAAAATAAATTATTTTCAGTGGCGCCACTATTTTGGAAGTTAATAAACATTTTGTCGTAAAATTTTTATTTATTTATCAATGTATGGGGTAAACGCATAAGGGAAGAGAGGAGGGAATGAAGCGAGGTAGACACAACACAAGAGCAAAACAGTTAACAGACAAGACATTTTAATTTATGAAATGAAATAAAAAAGGAAGATGCAATGATGAACGTTTTACTCCGTCAAAATTCAACCCCAACAACTGAACGCCGTTTTGTCCCCTAACCACACCATATAGAGTGATCTCCACCGTCGGATCTCATCTTATCATCCTTCTCTTCCCACTTTTGGATCTTCATAATTATTACGATTGGATACGATGCGATACGAGCGTGGATGAATATGCACCGCCACAGTTATTCTCTCTCTCAGTTATAATAATTCCATACTCTGCAATTTGGAACTTTGTGTCTAAAGTAATGTACTAAATGGTAAAGTGGGAGGGAACAGTGCGTAAAAGGTTGCCGGGGAATACTCAGCCACCTGTCGGTGCAATTTCTTATACTTAATGCCCCAACATATGAAAAGCATCCAACCCAATAATAATATAACCTATTTTAGTAATTTTCAATGACCAAAACATTGCTAAAAAAATAATACCTATATACACTAGTCATTGTTATCATATCTCGGATTATTATACTATATTATACGTATAAGGAAAAAAAAAATTGATGGGAAAAATAATTGGAAGAAGTGTTTCTCGTTTCAAATGATACAAGTTATGTCATTTTAAGAGAGATAAATATAAAATAATATTTTTTATTTAAAATTTAGATTAAAAAAAAATCATCCACTTTCTTTCCCATGATTTTTTTATTCCTTGTGTCTATCTCTTTCTTAAAATGACAAAATTTATGTCATTTAAAATGATAAACATCAAACCCAAAATAATTACCCTTAATTTTCTCTTTCTTTTTTTGGCAAAAGTTTGCTACAGAAAGGCCCAAGAAGGTTCTTTTCTGCATCAACAAAACCAGCTCCTGGACTAGAACATATCAATATCAAACCATAACTGCTGTTTAAGCTTTTCTTTCTGACTTCCTTTCTTGCTACTCTGTTGTTTCCAAGTTTTGTGTATTTATTATACATAATATACTTCACTTGTTTAAACTTGTGTTGCATATTTGGTAATCCTTTGATCTTGCCATTTTGATGTCTAGACCATTAGAGCATGATTACATAGGCTTGGGGCCTGAGAATCCATCAATGGACGGAAGCTCTGAAAAAATATCATCTTCTTCTTCTGCTGCTTCCACTCTCTCCTCTGAGAATGGTAAGACCTCTTCTCTCAACTTCAAGGAGACAGAGCTTAGGCTTGGCTTGCCTGGTTGTGAGTCTCCTGAGAGAAAATCAGGTTATGGGGTGTCTCTTTTTGGCAAGGATTTGCAGAACAAGCATAATGTTTGTTCTGTTGCAAGCCCTTTGAAGAACCTTGTGGCTGGGTCTAAGAGGGGCTTCTCTGATGCTATTGATGGCTCTTCTGGGAAATGGGTTTTCTCTGTGAATGATGGATCTGAGGTTGATTTGGGAAAAGGAGCTCCTTTGTTCTCTCCAAGAGGAGGGAATGTTGGGAAGCCTATTGTTGGTTTGGAGAATCAAACTAACACCCAGCAGGGTAATACCACTTCACCAACCATCAAAGAGGTTAGTGTAGTTCCCCAATCTGCCAAGCCAGGTCAGGAAAAGAATAATCAGGTTGCTCGAACAAATGAGCATGCTAGTGCTCCTGCTGCAAAGTAAGTTTGCATCCTGTTTATCTTTTTACTATTACTTTTTTTCCTGTTCTATTTACTGTCGACATCTTTTGCATACTGGTATAATCAAATGAAGAGAGGAACTGATTAGTAAACGAGTTTGAATTATATGTCATGTTTTCGTTGCCTGGACAAGGGTGAAAGATATAGTAATTCATGAAAGGAGCCTTTCATTGGCTGTTCAATGTTTTTTTTTTTTTTCCTCATAGAGGATTTGAAATTGTGAGTATCAATGGGAAATTTAAATTTTGGAGTTTGGTATTATGTCTATTGTATTTCTAATACCTTATTTTTTTTATAAAAAGAAAAAGAAAAATTCTAAACTTTGTCTCTGTCAGTTATGGTTCGTTATTTTGGTGATCAGTTCAAGATTTTGCTAAAGCTCTTGTAAACGAATGGTGTGATGAAAAAGTGAAGTTAATATTCATAACCCTGGTTTTATAGCAAGCTTGTATGATTGTTATTTTTTGCTGACTTCATTCTTTGTGGTTCTACCCTTCAAATCTTCAATATGCATAATTTTTTCTTTTTTTGGATGTTGTTTTAGATAGATGTAGTTTGTTGAGCTAAAAGTGAAATCTTCCATGGAAGTCCAAAAATAGTGGCTAATGAAAATTTTCCTTTATGGGAAAGGTTTTTATGTTCTAATAATTATTACCCTTATATATTCTTCATGGGGAGTGGGACTAATGAAATATCAAACCTTTGCTACAGGGCACAGGTTGTGGGATGGCCACCAATTCGATCTTTTCGAAAGAACACAATGGCCTTTAATATGACAAAGAACAGTGATGAAGCTGAGGGAAAACCAGGATTTGGTTGTCTCTATGTAAAGGTAAGTATGGATGGTGCCCCTTATCTCAGAAAGGTTGATCTGAAAACCTACAACAACTATGTGGAACTTTCTTCGGCTCTTGAGAAGATGTTCAGCTGCTTTACCATTGGTAGGACCTCTACCTTCTTCAATATGCTTTCATTAGCTACTTATTTTGATTTTTGACTGAAGTTGATATAATGTCCTTTGTCCATTAGTTTCGTAGTTTGGCCTCCAAATGCGTATAGTATTTTATAAAATTGAATAATGCTGTGAAACATCTTAGCTAGCTCCTTTCGAATTCTGAATAGCCACTTTGCACCATAACATTTTCCTTTTCCTAAAATTAGGGCAATGCAATTCTCCTGGACTTCCTGGGAAAGATGGACTAAGTGAGAGCTCTTTGAGGGATCTTCTCCATGGCTCTGAATATGTTCTTACATATGAAGATAAGGATGGAGATTGGATGCTTGTTGGTGATGTTCCTTGGGAGTAAGTTATTTCTCCTTTTTTTCATAAATCCTTAAAGCTCATTTTTCAATCATGACAGTTCAGTGGTTGAACTTGTTAACTCAAATCCTTTGTTGATGCAGGATGTTCACTGACTCATGTAGGAGACTAAGGATTATGAAAGGCTCTGAGGCAATTGGGCTAGGTATGTCCTATTCTTATTTTAATCATGCATTTATCAGGTTGCAGTATTGCACCCATGCTTTCCAGTTGAAAATTTTAAACTCTAGGCTCTTTTAATGAAGTTGTAAATATTATCTTTCATCATAGTCTTTTGATATGGATCACTGGTTTTATGTTGGAATGCAAAATTGCTTAAAAATATGTTCTCAATTGACTAGGTTGCAGCTCCAAGGGCCATGGAAAAATCTAGGAGCCAAAACTAGTGCAGAAAAACCCGCTGGACCAAGGTGGGATATTCAAAGAAGCATATAAAAGGTTTACAAGGGAGTTTGAGTTTATGGTTTTGTTCCAAATCAAAAGTATATGTAATTCAGTATCTCAGTTTTTTGTGCATTTATAGCCTGACAAGTTTTACATCTTAGAATTTAACTGGAGACATCCAGACCATATATCCACATATTTTGTTTGTATCTTTGGATTCTTGTTGCTGTATAAATGAATTGCTTTTAGTTGTGCTTTATCCTCTATAACTATTCTTCATTAATTTTCATTATGTATTTGTTCTTAATAATATACATACCCAATCTTTTATATTTTGATATTAAGATGTTAATAACCATACCTCTTTGGCTCATAATGTTGTTAGCCCCCAAAATAAAAAGGAAATATGCAAGAAGCTGTGCTGAAAAAGCATATCTCACTAGTTGAAAAAAGCATTTCCCCCAAAATAACCATACCACGTGATGTCTTGAATTCTGCCATTATTTTTGCATGTTTTCAAGGTCGCTCTCCAAATTCTAAAAGCTTGTTGAAAAGAACAGAACATGCTGGAATACTTAAAAGCTTAAGCCTTACGCATGATATTTTATTTGGCAACCCTAACTGAAATTCTATTCTAATGAACGGGTGGGTGGATTAGCATGTTGGCCGAAGAGATTAATTAAAAAAAAAATTCTTAGTAAAGATATAATTTGGAGTTTAACTCGAAAACACCTCTGAGTTTTGATTGGAAAGCCCACAGCTCAAATTTTAGTAGATTATGGCTCTGATTGTACTCACTTTCATTTCCTGTTCTTTCTTTCTGGTATACTAATTCTTATTCTTAATTAAAACTATTAGCCCCACAAGTATTGTATTTCCTTGAAATTACAGTAATTATTTTGACTTTTTAATTTTAAAGATAATATCCAAACACATACAGATAAGGAAAATGTTATACTTATTACCTATTTTTCTTACTACTTGTTACTACCAAATCTTAACCGTTGATTTCTGTCAATCTAACGGTTATAATTTATTACAAATTAATAATTAATTAATAAGTATGATCTCATAAATTACAACCGTTAGATTGACGGAAATAAACGGTTAAAATTTAGTAGTAACAAATAGTAAGAAAAATAGATAGTAAGTATAACCTCTCCCGAGAGATAATAGGTACTTTATTTGATTTCTTTATTAAGATGAGGGATCTTTTGACTCCCGTGTAAGTAGGGGGGCTAAATGAGCCAGGGCCTTTACAGGGGCCTTTGGCTCGGCTCGTGAAAGCCTGAAGGTTACATGTCTAAAATTGATTGTTGGAACAAGGCTTGGACTTGTATAAAAGCTCGTTTAATAAAAAGGCCTCAGGCTTCAATTCAAATGCTCGGCCTTAGAACCTCTCAGGCTGGCTTAATATAATAATTTTTATTTTTATTTTATATTTTTTATACTACTTGTATAGTCTTCTCTCTCTTCTCAATCCATTTCATCCTATTTTATTAATTAAACATATTTTTTGAATGATTTTGTTTTATATTATGCTGTTTGGATATACATTAAATTTATGAATATTTATGGAATTACTAGTGTTGTTGATTGTATATTTTTTTTGGATAAGTTTTTGTTGTCTTATTTTTTTTAAATAGGCTAACCGGCTAAACCAGAATTTTAATTTTTGTAAATAAGACAGACCACAGGCTGGAATTATATTCATAACAGGTAACAGATTTGGTCAGGCTGACACATTTAAACACAGGCTTAGCCTTTTAAGACCAAAGCTCGGCTCGGCCCGTTAACACCCTATGTGTAAGACTAAGAAGTCCTATTTCTTATCTTAACTATTGATTTACGTTAATCTAATGATTATAATTTATTGAGTTATATTAATTAGTTAATTATTAATTCTAAATAAATTACAGTCATTAGATGGGAGTAAAACTTTTTAGTCTTACAGCATAATAAAAAATCCCTCCTCTTTTATTAAATAGATGAAACCAGAGTATGTATTTAATTTGTTATATTATTCCTTATGTTCTTATAGTTTCACTAGATTTCCAAATAAATTCCTATATTTTAAAAGTTTTTAATTGAGCCTTTATACTTCTAAAATGTTTTAAATAGATCCCATAACAGCTGTTAAGATTTGCTAAATTATAATGATTTATTTGAAAACTCAAATAAATTGTTAGGACATATTTAATTGTGCTTTAAGTTTTTAAATAGATCCCTATAATTTAACAAAAGTTGATAGAGACTTAACAATTATTTAAAAGTCTATTAAAAATATAGGAAGTTAGGAACTCTATTAAAAACTCTTAAACTATAAAAGCCTACTTAAAAATTTAGTAAAACTACGAGAACCTACAGAGTAATTTAACATATTTTATTCTCTTAAATTATTTCTTTTTGAAAGTGTAAGTGCTATTTTTTTTTAATGAATTACAGTGAAAAAAAAAAAGCTTCAATACAACATGAAAGATAAAAAACGTGTTGACAATGCCACGTACACATTAGTGGATAAAATATGTCAAAATTTGAATTTCTGAGTATATAAACATTTTATTTTATTTTTAGATTTTCTTTATTTTATTTTTCTATAATGGCTTTTTTTAATACATATAATGGAATTTTTTTTTTTTGTAGAGACATATAATGGCTTTTCAACTTGACTATTTTTGTCCAACTATTTCATAATCTGAAGAACATTTTTATTTTATTTTATTTAAGACAAGTACAGAAAATTTAAAGCATTCGCAAATTATTTAACAGTTATCAATGTTGTCAAAATCGAGTTTCTACGTATAAATAGAAATCGAGTTTTTACGTATACATGGAATGAGGTGGTAGAAACGTAAATCGTAAAAATAATACGAAATATCAAGTTTTTACTACTTGAAGTCAAGATATAAAATTGGGAAATTGTTTTCTCCAAATGTAGGAGATAATTATCTCATGTCATAGAGACATAAAAAGACGTGCCTGCAATTTCTTTTTCTATTTTTATTTTTCTTTAACTTGTGGGTTCCACATTTCTTGTTAGTGTAGGAAAAAAACTTCTCATGTTAAATGAGAGAAGTATTACCATATATATATATATATATATATATATATATATATATATATATGGGTTTAGTGAGTATCAAGTGACTTGATGTAAATTAGGTCCAGTGCATTATATTCTCCCGCGAGAATATAGTGCACAAAAATTTTTGCTTATGTTCTACTGGGAGAACACCTGCAGAACACCATTGCAATATTTTTGCACTATATTCTCGCGAGAGAATATAGTCAAAATTCACTCGCTGGACAGTCCAGTGACTGAATTTTGGATTTTCCCTATATATATATATATATATATGAGGTAGGATCTTTTGACACCAGTGTCAAATTTGAATTTTGACACCTCATCTAGGAGTCATTAGATCAAAAAAGATCAATGGTGTCACATGCTTACAAATCAGAGTCGTCGATATTTTTTGATCTAATGCTTCTCAGATGAGGTGTCAAAATTCAAATTTGACACTGGTGTCAAAGGATCCTACCTATATATATATATATATATATATATATTACATTTCTGTAGCTGTTGTACGTGCAGTAATCAAATACTTGTCATATACATACTTGAAAGCATTAAATGCAAGGAATCATAACCATACAAAGGATGAAAGCATTAAATGTGAGGAATCATAACCCTACACCTGTCGTTACTGTACATAAGTCGGCTGCAGAAATTATTATATATATATATATATATATATATATATATATATATATATATATATATATATGAGTTTGGTGTTTGTCATTTTAAATGACATAAGTTATGTCATTTTAGGAGAGAGATAGACACAGAAAAACGGAAATCATGAGAGAGAGAAAGTTGGTGGTTTTTTTTAATTTAAAATTCAAATTTTCTGTGTCTGTATCTCTCTTAAAATGACATAACTTTCTGCCATTTAAAATGACAAACACTTTTCCCTATATATATATATATATATATATATATATATATATATGGGTACGCTTTTTCTGCAATTACTGCAGATAAGTTATCTGCAGTAAACCCAATACGAAGTCGTATTGGGCAGAAATTATGATATTTTTATAATTTTAATTTATTTCAGAGTTATTATAGTCTTTATAATTATTTTTTAATCTTTCAATTCCAAAACAACGTCGTTTTGGGAGTAAATGCCGATAACTTATCTGTAACTGCATATATATATATATATATATATATATATATATATATATATATGGGCAGGATATTCTTACACCGGTGCAAGAGTTAGAAGTCTTACACTCAATCTTGACCATTGATCCACTTGTATCCAATGGCTCACATTATTAAAAAATCAGAGTCCGACAAGATTAATAGTGTAACTTACACTGATATAAAATGATCCTGACCCTATATATATATATATATATATATATATATATATATATATATATATATATATATATATATACTCATAAAAGTCACTACTCAAAATTTAATGAAAAATTTCATATTTAAAAAATATAAATCATATAATTATATAAGACATAACTCTAAAAACACAAAAATAGAAAATTGAATTAAAAAAAAGAAAAATAGGGTTTATTAAAAAATAAAATAAAATAATTAAATTTAAATATAAACGCAAAAACTTACGTTTCTACCTATTATTACTTGCGTTTTAACATGACAACAATGCTTACTACTGCGGCCATCTCAAATGACTTTGAACTGCTGAAATTTTATAAGGTGCAGAAACAGGTAAATAAAGTACTTGATAATTTATTTATTTTCATATTTATATATATTGTTAAGACAGAACTTGTTAGACAATAAATTAGTAATACGAAAGATTACTGATACATAGGAACGAACACTGGCAATCAAGTTAGTCAGACATGAACAACTGTGGGTAAAGAAGAGTAGCTTGCCTGTACCAAAAAAAAAGAAAAGATGAGTAGCTTGAATTTCAAAAAGGAAAAGGGCAAGAATCATTAAAAAAACTACATCTTAAGCCAAATCAGGCTGAAGCAACAATTCATACATAATACAGGTACAAAACTTCCTTCTACTACATCATACCCGTGTCTAAGCAACTCTAAATTATTGTTCAGATATCTGTAAATAAACCATCTGAGTGTATCCATTAAATACAGAATTGTCAAATTTGGCCAAACCAAGCCTTTGGAACAAACCATAACGCCCATCTTCAACAATAGGGCTGGGTGCACGAGCAGGATCATATCTGGTTTGATGGGTGAGGGAAGGTCCAGCAACCGGAGGGAGTTCCCAGTACAAATCAAGAATAGATTCAACAAACCGGCTATTCTGGAAATGTTGTGCATAAGATATTGGCTTATTACTATGATTGAAGTTATCACGCATGTAGCCTCTAACTCCCCACCATGCTTCACCTGGCCCACAGAGTTCTTCGATATCAACTGTTTTCTCCCAGAATTTCTTCCTTCTTGATCTGATCCTAGCTTCATCACTGTCTTTAAAGCAACTGTGTCCCCCACCTTAAATCAACAAAGGAACAAAAACACAAGTTAATTTCCTTATCAGGTTTAAGTTACCACATACCTGTAATTCCTAATGCTGATAGAATAATATATTAAAAATTGAAAATAGAGAGATGTAACCACTATAAGGATTATCAACAGCTGTCCGGAACCAACCAAAGGTTTTCCAATAATTGGATGCTGGACCGTATGCCAACAACACCTATCAAAATATTAACCTCAATAATTTTGCAACCAAAACCAAATATTGAGAAAGTTTTCTGGTATTGAGTAAATCAATTTTTATGTTAAATAGTGCAGAACTCATTGATATTTTCTTCTGCTTTCCTGAATTAGGTCTATAGTTTCTAATCCCTCAATCAGTCTAACATAACACATCATTCCCTCAAGTCAAATATTTCATTAGTCTGGCCAAAGCCTATGCCCATCAAGAATCGATAATTGAAACCTATCAAGCTTTTGTAACTATGTTAAGACGAAATATAACACTGACGCATGTCTATTATAATATGAAAATTACATGCATTTCTTACTCAAACAGGTAGAAAATTCAGTAAAATACAGTAATTCAATAGAAAAGTGACAGTTTACACACCTCTTATATAAAATTGATCACATATCTGCCTCAATGAATAATGGTCACCAGTTCCAGTGTCATAGTTATCCTCAAACACAAGATGCCGAAACCCAGCTTTCAAAGCTTGTTCAATTCTGCTCATTAAGACATATAAAATAATAATAATAAGCAATAGCAATTTCATCAGAAGTACTCAACTATTGAATCATGCATCTCAAAGATCTAGTAAGTCACCTTTTGAATTCATTCTGATGGTCATCAAAAAATATAAGAACCCGACTAAGGTCTGCAATCCCATGTTTTTTCATCACTTTTGGCCAGTCAACACTTCCAAAATCCACAAAGTCCTTTCCAGCATAATAGGTACAGTTACCATCAACATAGGCAGGTCCCTTTTTCAGATACTTTTCTGGATGCCTAGGCGAAAGAGAAACAATTGGCGTGTCTGGCATAGCCTGCCGCAAAACCCAAGTTGAATGTCCCTTGAAAGCGCCACTCTCGATCATCAGATCTGGCTTCACCCACCGGGTAATAAACCAAAGCCCAAAGCTGTGGTCAAAACCCATCCCATACAAGTTGTTTTTGATTGGCCGGGTTTCATATATAGGAACAAACTCTTCTAACCCCTTAAGCAGATCTTTCGATGTCCATTCTACAGTTTTACCATGTTTCGATCTGCCTTTACCAAGGATAAGATTATAAGTATCCCACAACAATGAACTGTATGAATTAAAGATTTCAAAATTAAAAACAAAGAACTTGAAAAAACAGGAAATAAAATTGCCAATCCGGGACTTGCATTATTAACATTATATCACGCAGCATAACCGAATTTTCCTCTCCAATTCTCCACAGTCAACTAAATGCAACTTCAAACTTCACTGTTTGAAGGGAAACGAACCTCACTGAGAAATCAACATTTCACTCTCAACTCCAAAGTGTTAAAATGATAAGCTTGTGCATAAAATATTAATTTGGCCACAAAACACTTTCTTAAATTTGTGTTATGTAATAATAACAGTAATTAATAATAAATAAAGACCCAAATTGCTATCTTTGAACTGTTGGCTTGTTTAATATATACTCTTCCTACGAGTCTTCATCCGCATTCAAACGAACCCTAGAATAATGCCAAACCCTAAACAGCTGTTCACGAACAACCAATCAAGCAACAAAATGGAATTGGGTTCTATTAAGGATCAGGATCCGGAAACAATAAATTGAATTATTAAATATAATTTTTTTTTTAAAAAATATTCTTTCTTGATGATTTAACATTCAACCAAGTGGCATTTCATTTGAGAGATTCCAGAAACAAGAAACGCCCAACTCCCAAGCTAGAAACTTTTTCTCTCGATCCAAAAGAAGCCTAATAAATAACAAACCCCCAAAATGAGAATGAAGGGATCAGATCAGCGCAAAGAAACTTACACCAGGGCACGCCGAGAGCTCCGAAATCGGATTCGAGGCCGTCGAGGCCGTAGAAGCCGGCGCGTGAGACGGGATCGGAGATGCAGACGAAGCGGCGAGAAGTGAAGAGGAATAAGAATGCCAAGAATATGAACAATGCAATGGTGGCACAAGGCCAGTAGTAGGAGTAGCCACCCATTCGGGAAATGTAATTGGAAACCCTATTGGTGGCGAGAAACAATATGTTCTGCTGCTTCCTCGTCTTCGATTCATCGCCGTTGACGGCGGCGTCTTCGTCGTCGTCGCCGCCGTGAGAGTTGCCGCGGCGTAAGGAGAGTGCCCGCTCCAACATCTTGTCGACAGAGTGATGGGTATGGCGGTGTGAGGGTGACGATAACTTTGGAGATGTCATGCTTTTTTCTTTATTCTTAATTTTACTCTTTTTATTTTAACTAACTATTAGACACACTCTCATTTATGTTCTACTCTATAATTAGGGATAAATTAACGTCAATTACTAATCAATTTAATCTTGACCACAATACACAGAAATATATATAATGGGCATAATTTTTTTAAGAAAAAAAGATAGATTTTTTTTTTTTGATAACAAAAAAAAGATAGATTACAATACACAGAAATATGAAGATTTGATTTGGCTATCATTTGAAGGACGAAAAGATGGAGCCTCAGATACTTATAATATAGAGAATTATTTTATTACACTATCACCAAATCATATTTTATCATGTTATAAAATATTTAATTATCATAATACTCATTTTTGAAATTTTAAATTTTGATAATTATTATTTAGAAAATTTATAATAATATATTACAGGAAAGACACCTAGAGCCTGTTTGGATCCTCTTATTTTTAAGCTAGAAGCTACTTATAAGCTAAAGCTAAAAAAAAAAGCTTAAAAAAAGAAGCTAAAAGCTGTTTGGAAATTACATAAAAAATTTAGCTTAAAAATTACTTAAAAGCACATATTTCAAGAAAATTATCTCTCTCTCTCTATCTTTATCATTCTTCATTTAAAAAAAAAAGCACACAATTCAAGAAAAACAGATAAGGGCTAAAAAAAAGCTCCTCCTTGGAGCTTTTAATTTTCAGCCTTTTCTTCATTATAAAAAAAAGAGCTTTTCGTTATAAGAGCTTTTTCCAAAACCTGTTTGGCCTAGCTTATGCTTATAAGTAGCTTCTAGCTTAAAAATAAAAGGATCCAAACAGGCACCTAATAGATGATTCCAGATTTCCAATCAATTACGGAGTTAGAAAGGGATTAGGTGGACAATCATCACCTTAAACTTTGCCTATGGTAAATTAATTAACAAAACTATTGAGGATTTATCTTATTATGTACTTACCTCTGTCATTGTCAATTTCAATTACCTTCTTATCATTCTCGTTACTAATATTAAGAGGTGTTAAAATAGGTTAAGCTCGTGAGTTGACTGCAATGTTCTAGATTTAACCTTAATTAATTGGGATTTATAAGCTCCAAAACCATATGATTTATAGGACTAGATTAAGACTTGTTCGCAGGTCAAATTTTTTCCTTTATCAAATTTTTAAAAAAATAAAAATAAAATACATATATATTATATAAATTTAAATATATATAAATTATAAACATAATATCAATAAAATTAAAATTTTCAGTACTGTTAAATGGTAATATATTTCAATAGAGAATTTCATTTGTGTATTAATAAAAATAAAATTTTCTATTGACATGTTATATATTCAAATTTGCACTGAAACATATTATATACAATGTACTTGGTAGTTTTATGAATAATAAGTAAAGAGGTTTTTACAACGATAGTAGTTGAAGAAAATTAATGATTTAACTTTCAAATATATAGCATATTAAGAAAAATTGTTCAATACTAGTATTAAGATTTTGTTGATGATATTCTTTAACAATGAAATTTAACAAAGATAGTAAAATTTATTTTTTATTATATTATTCTTTTTTATATTTTCATTTGTGTATTTGTATATAAATATTGTTTTATTAAGAAATTTAAATTATTAAAAATTTATATTTTGTATAAAATAGTTACAAAAATGTTAATTGTTTATTTGTTAAAATAATTTTGAATGTATTGTATGTGATAAAAAATAATTTTTTTTGAAATTGTAATTTTTGTTTAGAACTCAGGGTTTACTCGAGGCATAGAGATTACCGAAGTAGCTTTCACTTTTAGTTATAAAGCTTTTTTCTTGATTACCAAAAAAAAAAACAGTTTTTTTCTTACATATAACTAGTAATCGAATTCCTATCAGTATGCTTAAGTGACTCAGATATCTCTATTAATTGTGCCAAATTTTGTTGGTGAAATTGTAATTTTAGATAGCCCACTGTTTAACCCTAACCATAAGGCTTTCAGCTCATGCGAGCTTTTATTACCGTGGATCATTTGATTCTATGAGCTTTTTACCCTAACTTGCACGGGCTAAAATATAACGGAATGAACTTACCCTTTTTTACAGCTCAAATTACTTACTATACCACTTTCCTTATATTAATTTTCAAATAAAGTAGTTCTCTTTAAATAATTTTAATATTATTTTCAATAAAGCTACGTTATATTTTGTTCCTTGCTATCTCTAGAAAAGCATAAAATAGAAAAGAACAGAGCATCTATGAATAAATGTTTAGTGGGTTACAGTTTCTAGTGGAATGCTTCTGATAGATGCCTACTTATTGAACACGTGTTATTATTATCATTATCATTATTATTATTATTATATGACTTTTATTTCATATAATAATATATTTTTCAACTTATATGTTATTTTAATAGAAAGCAACGATATGTATTAAAAGGGTAGTACTGTGAGTTATTCCTTATTTGACAAAGAAGGCACCGAAACAGTCTAAATTGAAGGCAAGAATAGACTCTTAAAAGAAACTTTTCCACAGAAAAGTTCAGAGTAATTTGCAAACACAAGGTGTTATGGTGTTACGTTAACTCTTCATCAATATAACTAGCATATCTTTCACTTCAGTTATGCTTACTCTGCCATGGTGTGTCTGGGAGCTCTGTTTGGATGCAGGCGTAATTCCAATTCCATTGTAGGCTATCTTCTATCAACTTTGGTCACCATATCAATTCTTTGCGTTTTGCGTTTGCTATGTTATGGCATTTACCGGTTACTAAAGAGAAGAAATTCTAATCATGGTGGTGGACATCCAAACGGTGGCATAGAAATGCAATCATAGAACACAAGGCATGGCCAATAGATTCTTCTACCTAGCGCTCTGCTAATCATGTAACTCATTCAACAAAGAGCTACAATACCTCTTTTCTTTTACAAAGTTTGATTGTTCATCAAGTTTTGGAGTATTGTATTATAAAATTGTAGTTTTCTCTGGCAGTTTTAATTATTTGATTGCATTTTCCAACTAGTATAAGCTCATTTTTTTTTTTTGGTAAAAAGTATAAGCTCATCATTTATCTGTAATTATATTATAAAACCTATCACATTCCCCAAATTTTCTAATCTCTGGCGCCTCTCAAATTAATTGTTTATTCTCATAATTTTTAGATAAATGGGGTGACAATGATTACTTCTTCCATTGTTTTCTATTTGTTTTTTTAAAACCCTTCATCAAAATGACTAGAATATTATTATGTTTATTAAGACAAAAAAAGAAATGATCATGGAGCAAATATTCGGTGAACCGGGTTCATGTGGGTCGGGGGTAAAGAGAAAAAAGAAGAGAGAGAGGAAAAAGAAAGAGAGAGAAAAGAATATGCAATTAATTTCCCAGGACAAGAGTAGTAATTTTATAAAAATTTAGAAGGCTAAAATTGTCAAAATTTAAAGTTAGAGAAGATTTTTGCATTTTGCTTATTGAACTACTTGGGTCAAGCGTCAAGAATACAACAAAAACTACAAACTAGTGCTCATTGAAGTCCCTTATATAGTTCAAAATACTTTACCCCAGCTTGTGATGAGCACTGATTATTCACATTCTTGGTATGAGTGACTCGCCAAACTTTCAAGACCCCATCAAGGCTACCAGTGCAAATAGTGCAACTATCTTCATTATCTTCGACCAAGCGTCCTCCTATGAAAGCAGTTACACACCTAATTGGCCCTCTATGACCAACCAAAACTGCTAGACATGTGTGTTGACCATCTTGTTCTCTACCCCAAACCCTGCATGTTGAATCAGCTGAGCCACTAACTACATATTTTCCCACACTAGCTAGGCACATTACTGCATGTGTGTGCCCTTGGATTGACCCACCATATTGCAATTGCCCTGCAAACCAACCCTTTAGCCAATAGTGTATGTAGCCATCACTGCATCCACCATACAATATCCCTCCATCCTGGGTTAGTGTCAAGGCTTTCACAGGGGAATACTTGGCGTGCAGGGTTACTGTGAGAGAATGAGGCTGGTCATGGCTACAAAAATTTCTACGCCAAACTCTGACCGTGGCATCATCAGAGGCAGTGTAGACAACTCCATCATCAGCCACAATGATGGCATTGATTGGCTCAGGGTGTGCTTTGATGGTCTCTATGCATTTCAAGTCTGAGATTCGCCACACTTTCACTGTTTTGTCAAGGGAAGCAGTGTATAGAATGTCCTCTGCTGTGTTAATTGCCATTGATGTGATTAGCCCCTTATGCTTCATCTGTTAAAGTGATATCAACAATTGCATCTAAGATCAGTGATTATGAGTCAATTAATTAACAAGTGACATAAAATTATGAATATATGGTTTGATAAGCCTTGGCTCATTGCACTGCTAAACTCCCTGAATGGTATGAACTATGAAGGGCAATAAGTATAATAGAAAAAGTAACCATAAATTATTACCTAACCAACCTAATATCTTTGTATGTGGGTAGACAACATTGAATTATTTCAGGACCTAGTGTCAACATTATCAATAAGCAATAAATGCGTGCTTACTGCTAACAATATAGAGAAGAACAAAATAATGAGAAATGAGTGTTCTTATACATTGCAGGATATACAGATAAGAATTTTAACACTCATATTTAGAAATCTAACAGATACTTACAATCTTGTCTTTGCCAGCAATGTAGCTCCTGACATAGCCAACTGTCTTTGGGATGGTAGCCAATCGAACATGCTTCAACAATTTATCCCAAGTTTTTCTCCAAACCCGAATCTTGCCATCACCATAGGCTGCAAAAACTGTGTCATGGGAAGTCTCAAGGGCCACAACCCTGCAAGCCTTGGTCCTAAGTTGTCCACATTCAGTGAAGTCAGGGAGCTTCCATACCCTTACAAGATTGGAATCAGAGCCAGTGTAGACTAAACCATTTGATGACAAAGCTATAGACAGGATCTGACCATCGTTTCTGAGGACAGAAGAGGCACAGTGGTAAGTGGTTTGAGGGTCAGAATCAGAGAGCTTGGTGGTGGGTAAGGATGAAGGATGAAGAGGAGAACTTTGGAGGCTGCGAGAAAGAGTAGGACAATAAGAAAGGCGAGGTGGGGAGTGAAGTAACTCTGAGAAAAAGGTTTCTTTTGTAGAATGGCTTCTCAAGAAGTTGTTCTGAGTTGTGGGTCTAAAAGCAAATGATGGGGTTGTATCAGGTGAGTTGGAGGAGTCCATTGATCAGGTCATTGATCTTGTTCTTCTTCACTACTAAAAAAACAAAGAAAGACCAATGGTGGTTATGACTTAACGTTGTGAATGAAGTAGTTGTGAATTAGAGTGGTGGTAGATGTTTGCTATAACTTTGTTTATTGCAATAGTTGAATAGTATATAGTAGATGCTTATGTATTAAAGATATAATGAGCATTGGTCCATTGGCTGGCAATGTTGTTAGATGCAGCATTAGTTGCAATAGCCCCTATATGGGGTTGTAAATTTGTGTGTTTTCTTTGTCAGTGTGGCAGAGTTGACATGACCTCTTTTACTTCGGGAAAAAAAAAAAAAAAAGATGATAACAAATCAATATGAAGCCCTTTGATAATGAAATGCATAAAGTGGGTTTGCTAGAGGAAAATACGAACTTCTTTGGACAGATTCATTTTCGAAAATTATATTATATTATGCGAAATTAGTCTCAACTGATTCCTGAATTACACGATGGCATTAATTACGAGCTCTCTATTAATTGGCTCACCAAATGGTCTGGAATTTGGCATCATAATTTTCGTAACTTCCATTAATTATATTCAATTAAATTATTCTTTTTATTTTATTAAAAAAAATTTATTCGATAGTTCTCTGAAAATATCAACAATAAACAATGATAAAATTAAAAAATAATATTTTAGAATGATAATAACTTGAAATGAATTAAAAAAATAAAAGAATATGAATTTGCTTAGGAAATTGGCAAGGAGGAATACATAAATAAATGTGCAGATACGTAAATAAATAGCAGTTGTTGCGGAAGCCGCCATTCCCGAAAATTCGGAAACCCTTTTATGCTTTTTCTTGTCGATTGCCTATATGCATGAAAGGTCACTCAATGCTGTCAAAAGGTTGAACCCGTTAATCCAAATTGGGTAATGATTACGAGGGACATTGACCATGTTGACACTCCTTTAATAAAAAATTATCAGATTGTTACGCCAGAATTTTTTTTGGCAAAATACCACGTCACAACTTCGCTGGTCTGACAAGCGGGAATGGTCTGGACACGTGTCAGCATCTGAATGGTCAACCATTCTCGCTGGACTGCCCAGCTAGAATGCTGACACGTGGCAAAAGTACAGACATCCAGATAATGCTTGTACTTTTGCCATGTGTCAGCATTCTGTCATTCTAGCTGGTCAGCCCAGCGAGAATGGTTGACCATTCAGACGCTGACACGTGTCCAGACCATTCCCGCTTGTCAGACCAGCGAGATTGTGACGTGGCATTTTGGCAATTTTTTTTCTTAGCGTGGCAATACAATAATTTTTTGCCTAAAAAGTGACAATATGGTCAAAGTCCCTGATTATGAAGCTGGTAATTTATTAAGAGATTCAATTATTATTTTAATATAGAAAAGAATATTATAACAATCAATTAGTGTTACACCAATGTTACTATCAATCAATTTCACCATTAGATCGATTATGTTGATCCAATGATTATATTTATTTTTATCTTTATATGGTTATGATTCTTAATATTTAATATTTTATATTTATTTTCACCTTTGTATGATTATAATTTTTCATATTTAATGCTTCACATTAAATATTTAGAATTATAACATATAAAGATGAAAATAAACATAACCTAAAATTGATTGGTAATAACACTAATTAGTTGTTATAATATCCTATCCTTTTTAATATTTAAATTCATTTTTAAATAAATAATGTATATATCCACGGGGTTGATATTTATAAACATTATTAATTAGTAATATAATTAGGGAATAACATCTGTCATTTTAAAAGATATAAGCTTATATCATTTTAGATCCTAACCATTAATTTCTATCCATCAACGGTTATAATTTATTGGATCAAAATTATTAATTAATTAATAACAAATTTGGCCCATTAAGTTTGACTCAATAAATTATTACCATTAATGGACGGAAATCAACGATTAGGATCTAAAATGATATAAATTTATATCTTTAAAAAGATAGATGTTTTTCTCATATAATTATGTAACTATTTGAGAAAAAATACCAGCAGGCGCAAATAAACCTGGCAACTGGAGCCAGCTTGCCGCACATGTTCCGCACCGACCCTGTTCCCCTTGTCTTATAAAATCAACTTCATGTTTTATTCATTTTACTTATGATTTTATACTAAATATAATTTAGAAAAAAAATTGTTTCACAGTACAAAATAGTTTATGTTAAAAGAATTAGTATTTCTCGTATTGTAGGAGATAAATTATTTCCTACATGGATGTGAAGTCTATATGGGCCTATGTGAAAAAAAATAAAAAAATATGGACCCTAAATATTTTTATATTTGTGTAGAAAATAAAATTATTTCCTATAACGTAAAAATATATTAATCCCTATGTTAAATACAAAATCGACTATAAATTTTTGTTTAAGTTATTAATTTGGATAATTATTTCATATTCCACCCATAATATTTAAACCTTTTAATTAATTTCAATTGGCTGTCCTTTAAATCTGTCGGGTCTCGATTAAGATATTAACACTAATTTTTTAAGGGTTCATTTTTTCTACTGTTAATGTAGATCATTTATCTACATTGAGCCTAAAACGACGTCGTTTTGAGACGAAAATCAAGGTATTTTTGTAATTATAATTTATTTCACGGTTATAATAGTCTTTTTCATTATAATTTTTTAACCCAAAACGATGTCGTTTTGGGAACGAATGTTTGTCTACATTCACTTTAGAAAAGTTAAAGCCATTTTTTAAGCTTTGAACTTTGATCTTGTTCAGTGAATATGCGTAATTTGCTTAGTAACGTACCTAACCATGTTCATCATTTACTATGCTTTTCAACATGAGAAGCAGAACACAGTTTTGCCCAATGAGCATACAATGCATATTGCATGCCGATTTTCGGATCAAAATTTGCAATATATATAAATGTAAATGAATGAGGAACGTATATATATACACTCAGGTTTCAAGTTCTTTACCTATTCAAGAACAAACAATCAAACCTCGTCCCAGAGCCTTTGCCACACAAAGAACAGATGACAACGGAAGATAGTCAATTGTCAAACTTAAGAAATAGGAATCATCGCATATCATTTTATATTCACTGGATTTTTGTTCCATGACAAGTAGGACGGATCCCCAAGAGGTCTGCACATAGAACATTATAGCCATGTCAGCTCGCAATTGCTAAGTAGAATAAACATAATTATTTATCAACTTTTCTCTACTATCTACCTAAGATCATAATCATGATGTGGATAAAGTGTCTAATTTAGTTTAAATATTAGTGTAAAAGAACTAATTCAATCCAAAGAATAAATTGTTAAGTGAATGATTTTTATATTTTTGTAACGCATTCTCTCACACAAAGGTGGATAATGCATTTATTAAATCGAACTCGTAACCTCATGATCAATATCATAAAAAAAATGAATTCAATTCAAAAATTTAAGATGTTAAGTGAATTTTTTTTAATGATTTTTATTGGAAAATAAATGCTAAATTTTGAGAAAGAGAAAAAAGGGTTACAAGCACCATACTTCCTTTATATTGATTGTGGAATTTTTTTTGGGACAGAGGCAATACACATCAAATAAAGTTTAAAATTCAGAATTAAGTGTGATTATAATTGAAAGAATGTATGAGCATAGTATTTAGTTATACTTTTACCTTGGCTTGATGACATAGAGAAGTATGAATCCTATAGCGCAGAACAAGGATAAGCCACCAACGAAAAGGTATGCCATCCCCAAGAAGGGATTTTTGCCACCAATCCAAGTTGTGGTTGAGAGAACCAGCCTCTTATAGCCTCCAAACTCGTATGTGTTGTAATTGTTCTCTATTACTATTTCTATCTCATCATTAACTTCAAGGTCAGCCTCAATCTTCCCATATAGTTTTCTGAAAGTTGGTAATGCTGCCGTTCGCATCCACACAATGAGATCCTCTTGTTCACTCAACTGGTGCATATATATATGCCACAACACATATATAGCTTATTTCTCAAGAAAAACAAGCAAACAAAAATGAAAAATGAAAGAAAAAAAAGAAAGAAATATTTACAGGTATACTCTCATTGAGTTTTGCACCACCAATCAAACCTCTACTCTGAAAATTTTTTGGATAAACATTAGACCCAAATTTGGACCCTTGGTCACTCCCCCATGCTATGTTCTTTTTGTTGACAGTCAAATCCTTGTTCTTCATTGAAAATCTGTATGTGTCATTGAACAGACTCCATGCAATTAGGCCACAAGGAACAATTGGTTGACTATTTTCTGTTTTGTCTTCGGGAAAACAATTCCCTGTCTCCCCCTCAGCTTCCTTACTCCACAGTTGCTTGTCGCTTCTACTCTTAACATATCTGCAACAATAAAATCCAATATCATTTTTCTATATTCATATATATGGAGTTCTGCACAACAATAAATAACAATTAACAACAGTTTATGAAAAGTAATCTTCATCAGGGGAAGGAGATAATCAAGAACAGCTTAGACAAGGAATTGCTGTGAATAACTAAAATAGAAATCCTTTAAGTATGAATATGAGTTTCTATTGTTCCAGTTAACCAATATGCAATTTAAAAAGGGTTCATCTAATCTCACGTTGTAGATATTTTATACTGGAGACACACATGTGGTGAGCCCCACTATTTACCCAAAAAAGAAAAAGAATGTCACTGTTTTTTATGGGTCTATAGGAGATAAAACTACTCTTATGTTGCATAAGAGTAGTTTTTCCCATTTAAAAAAGAACAATGCATCAAATATCAAATGCACTTAGAGCCTATTTGTTTGGGCTTATAAAAAAAGTAACTTTTATTTCTTTCTTATTTTAGAAGTATTTTTTATAAAAGTTAAACCTATTTATATTTTTATATAAATATTTAATATTTTTAAAAAAATATTTGACTTTTGACTTCTGCTTTTTTTATAAGCTAAAATTTTTAGCTTCTTAAAAAGCAGGTTTTTGACTTTTTTGTGACTTCTACTTTTTTTAAAAAATAGACATCCAAACGAACGAATTTAAAGTGAGAAGTGCTTTTTTTCCTAAAAAAAAACAAATTTTTAAGAGAAAAAAACTCATCCAAACGGAGCGCTAAGCATATGGAAAAAAGAAGATATCACTTGTAAATTGCAGATACCTGCGATGGTTCTGATAGTAATTATCAAGCTGATAATAGATATAAATAGGAGCTTGCATTTTATGCTCAACCTATAAAGTTTACAACAAATTATTTCCCATCAGTTATCAAACAAGGATATGGAACTGGAAAAGGTAAAAAAAAAAAGGGCAAAACACATTCTCTACAACATTGGAATAGAGAAGTTTATTTTAAAATGTCAGGTTAGAGAAACTCTACTAACAATCCATTTTTGGGTGCAGGTCTTGTTCGATTGAACGTTTTGAATATATGCCAATGCACTTTCAGCTTGTGAGGGAGGAAGGCATTTATCGTCATATCGGAATATAGCTTCTTCCACCTGCATCAGTATTTCTTGGTCAATATAACATTCAGTTTCAGCATCCAAATTTCATTTGACACTATGTAAGTATATATATGTATGGAAACAACTACGAGATGTTACACTCTCTGATGAAAACAATGAAGCAAGTCCAACAGGAATGAAGATGATTCCGATGGCAGTAAATGTGGCAATGACCTGGGAAAACAAAGATGAAATCACTACAACATTAACAAACCAGAATCCATGCCTGAAATTGTTGCATACGTATGAACCAGTAGTAAAACTAAAATGAGTTATGATGTACCATACCCATCCCGGTGTTAAAATTGGTTTCCATGCAGGAAGTTCTTGCTGTGAGAATTTTGAATCTACCATTAAAAAAAAAAAAAAAAACCTTGTATGAGCAATAATGCAACACAATTGGCATGTACAAACTTGGCATTGAGCAATTGACCTTATAAATATAACAATAAAAGATGTTGGATTGACATTTAGTTTTGTTTAACGAATTAGACATGGCAAGTTCAATGAAAGTAACAAATAATAATTTTCTTGGAATGAACCATTGTTTGAAGCTACCCCACGAAATTAACATACACGACGTAAACACATATAATATAGAATGGCGCATGCATGAAGAAATAGATAACGACGTACAGCATATTCATAGGAAGAAAACGAAAGAGGACATATAACAAAGTGAAGAACACACACATTTGGGTTTCTTGGAAGTGGAAGTAGATTGTCCATCTTTGCCAACCGCTATGCTTTTTTGAGGCATATCCATGATTGTTGATCTTAGGTTGATAAAAACACGAAATAAAGAACGTGATCAAAGATAACTTGTTAAATAACTGAGTCTATGCATATGGATAGATAGATAGATAGAGAATAACTGTAAGGTAGTTGTCGTTAAGGTTTGAAGAGAATGGAGGACACTGCGTCCGTAAAACAGTTATCAACATCGGGGGACCGCACAATCACATCGTTGAATTGGACCATTTCCCTACAGGAACTACCGCTAATCCCTCCTAATACGTGAAAATTAAACAGTTATCTTTACGGGCACCTTGGTCGTTACTCAATTTTAATACACAATGTTTTCAAAAATATTAATAGAAAAAGTGTTTCTCATTTTAAATGACATAAAATTATGTCATTTTAAGAGAGAGACAGACATAAAAAAAAAAATTATTTAAAATTTAAATTAAAAAAAAAATCATCTACTTTCTCTCCCATGATTTTTATTTCTTGTGTCTATCTCCCTCTTAAAATGACAAACACCAAACCCAATATTAATTAACAATCTCATAATTTGGTAAAGTAGCTGTACCGTTGGGATCTATAAGCCAATTGTGTTCCCTTCAGGGATAGAGTCACTATATGGGTAATACCTCTAGTAAAGGTAACGACCAGGCTATAAAGTATTGTTCCAAGTCTAAAGCAAGCATTTAACAATGGGGATTGGGTGTGTGTATGTGTGACTCAATGTAAATGGGCAGAATAACGATACATAAGATATCCTCCTTATGTGAGGGAGGGGCATATTTATAGGGGAAAGGAGATCCTCATCTCCCGTGGGTTGGTGAGGAGGGGGTCAACCTTCCTTGAGATCAGTCGAGGGGTGGTTGCATCACTGTTATGATAGCAGTGACACAGTCCCTGCGCCTAGCGATATGCCTGGCGATATCAGCATATGACACTAGGGCAGTTTCCACTTATGGTATTTGGGGCGATCTTTCAGGTAGTTAAAGTCCCAAAGTGAGACATTTTCGTGTCTCACCTAGGGAGTAGGGAGTGCAATTGCCTATGAGGCAGAAGAGTTGGAAGACTGGTGGGGCTGACGTGGATAAGGTGAAAAGATTTTGGGCTTAAGCCATTGAGCCATTGTGACGTTGAGCCATCCGGAACACAGTAGCCAATTAACAATTAAATTTATTTATTTTATCTATTTATATATATACATATATTGGATGACTTTTCATTAAATAATTTTCTATTTGTATGTGTTTGATTTTAATAGTTTTTAAAATTATTATTAAACAATTTATTTTCGAAAATGTAACTTGCATTTATATTCATGTACCCTACATTAAAAACTGAAAAACCTCACTAAATGTAATTTTAGCTGAACTGGTATACTTATTATTATTTTAGGCTTACAACTCCTACCACCTGTCTAGTTACTTTTGGATTGATCTGAAATCAATGGCAGTTATTATTATTATTATTTTTATTATTATTATTATTTCAAATTGATCCAACAATAACTAATTAAAAAATAATAATAAACCTAAAATGGTAGTAAATATAATCACCCTTTAACAAATAATTTGAACACACTCGAAAGTGCACCCAAGGGAAAAAATCTAAGAACGGAAATCCTTTTTCTTATGTTGGAAAACTGCAATGGCAATCCATGGATAAAATGAACCATATTGCACGGCCTGATATAGTGATATAATCAGAATATGCAAACAAAAATAAATAATACAATTGAGTCATTTTGTTAAAAAGCTGAAGACACAGCATCTACGACATCATTTGATTCGTCAACTATCATTTCATTTCTGAAAAGTAATTTTAAATATGGAAGAACCTTGGGAAGCAGGGGCAAATCTGCGATATTGATACTCATCATGTCAAATGCAACACACGTTTTATGCATGTGTTTTTCATCGAGTACAGGAATTTTTGGATATCTTTGGCTGAAATGAGTAAGTATGATTCGATATGCATTAGCAGAGTTTCCCATTTCTATAGCTTCATTTGTGGTGCTGTGATTTTTGGCTATAGCCTCCTCTACCAAAGCATCCTCAAAAGTTGCCTGCATCAATTAGCTAATGTTAAGTTAGATTGCACCAATGATGGCATTAAGCAACGAACAGTCCTCTACAGAGTTAGATTGAGTTTACATGGACTATGTTGAAGAGAAAAAAAAAACTAGCATGGACGATAATATATATTGCTGGACTTAAAGCATTGAAGGAATTAAAGCAAAAGGATTATAAATAAGATTATTATTTTATAAACAAAACAAAGAAACATGTAATTATTCAATAAAAAAAAATTATGTTCCCCAAAGGAATCATTCAAGATACAAATTCTGATGTAAGCCAGAGAAAATCCAAGTTTGAGAAACAGAGTGAGGAAAAAGAAGCTAAAGCTTTGGTTCTACAGGGCAGAAGTTAATTCATGTGGAAGCCGGTTAGTTTGACCAAAGATTTACCTCTTGGACCAAGAAATTCTGGATTTAAGGCTTGTGTATCATTGTTGGATCTGAAATATGGATAACATTACTAACATTTGAGATTGACTTCAACCAGCCCATCCCACCCCACCCTAAAAAGGGAAGACTATAATACTCAAGACTGCATACTTGTGCAATAGTAGCCTAAAAACAATACCTAATTCTCATATTGATCTCATTCCATATCCATTCAAGATATTCCCAGCAAATGTTAATGCTAATGCATTACAAGCTCAGACAACATCAATTGATTTATAGAAACACTTGCCTCATGTATAAGTACTGTTGCACCTTGAGATGCTTCTACTAGCTCTGGGCAGGGCCTTGTGTCACCAGAATATACAATCTTCCAGCCAGGTATCACTTTTCCGACGCTATTAACCCTCTCTTCTGCTTTTAGAACAACACCAAATGCCTGTGGGCAATGTATAACGGGGAAACTAATCAAGGCCTTCAGACCAGCTTCCTCGATTACCTCCTTAAATTTCTTTAGGATAGGAGAAACTGCATTTTTGTCAACAGGACTGCCTGGTCTTTTCCAATAGCTTTGCATATGTGATCCTCTAGCAAACAAAGTCGAATCAACTTTTGATGCAATTACTTCACCATTATTATTGTTCACATCCTGAGAATTAACTGGAACTCCATGGAAGCCATCCTCAAAAGCATCCAATGAAGCTTCCGTGGTGTGCTTGCAGTCAAGAAACAACATATCTAAATCTTCGAGTCTTTGGTATGCATCTAAATATCTCTTAAGCAGTCTTGGTCCTACAACAAGAACTGGTTCATGAGGCACCCCTCTCAGCAAATCACGGCGCAAAGCAAGAATCCTAGCCAAGCCAGTATGGTGATCGGCATGAATGTGTGAAATCCAAATGCACCTTAAAGCTCTCACAGCATCATCAGCACCACTTACACCATATCTGTTTACAAGGGATACACCAACCAACAGTTTATATTAAAAGAGCAAATAAGTGCAGTACTATAAACATGAATGTTAGGAATCTGGATAGACTTGCCTTCTTTTAAGTTGTCCCAAGGTTCCTTCACCACAATCCAAAAGCAAACTTCCCTTGAAAAAAAGATTTATATATATTGAGCTTACATTTCGGTACTTCGATGGTTGGGATGACCCAGTTCCAAGAAGAACTATCTCCAAGTCATCTCTCCTTATATTTTCCAAACAAGCAGGAATACCATCTGCACACAGCCATGGCTCCTCAATCATCATCTTATGATCTGCCACAGGTATTAAATCTTCCTTTGTCTGACTGGATTGTTGCCAGAGCTGACTTACATGCTGAGCTGCTTCCACAACCTCTGGAATCTCTGATAGTAACTCATCAATGATTTCGGAGGAAGCCACTGTAGTTGGAATACAAGTTCTATCCAACCCAATATGAGCATAAGGACGCAGAGTAAACTGTATTAACATGGAGCAATATATCTATCAATATATGAACTTGATAAAAGCAAGACATAAAGAACCTAGAAGTAAAATTGTAGTCCTAAGGTGACAAATGTATCCAGGAGATTGTTGGAGCAGCACCTATCAAGGAGAAGAAGTGATGGAAACTCTCCTAAGGTGATTTAGTCATGTGAGAAGAAGATCAATAGAAGCTCTAGTTGAAAAGCGGATCAAGTGGAAGACCTAAGAAAAGAATGTGCTCTAAAATATTAAAAGTTTTACAGAAATTTCGGATACTTTAAAATTTGCTTCAATGTATTTATTATATTTTTTGTCATAAGTATAACAGGTCCACTAGAAAATCATTCTCCACAGATTTGACAAGAATGCCATTCTTATATTCTCTCTCAGTGGTAGACCCAAATAATTAAAAGTTGTTCAAAGACAAAAAGTTAGAACGTCAGAAACTCATTAAGTTAAAAATCAGATGATTACTACTTAAGCTTGTGTAGCACCATTAGGTACAATCATAATGCTCTAAGTTATTAACAATAATAGTCTCTTCTTTTTCAAAAGAATTTTCATCAATAAATCTTGTTATTAGCTATAAGGAGTTCATAAAAGGCATGGAGTATCACAATTAGAAGCTATACAGACTCCAAGAAAATTATTTTGACTTCAATGAGAACAAATAAGTTAACAGCTAGTCCACGACTCCACATCAACCTTCCATACCTTGAGAAGATTTTCAGCAGAAATGGCTTCAGAAAGTTCTGAACAAGAACCCTGCAAAAGAATCAAATCAAACACTTTAATAGACTCATATGAGTCTTAACAATCATTGTCCAGGAAAACAAATTTCCTCCTCTAGCACACTCTGACAAACCTCACTTGAAGCAAGAGAGCCCGATTTTGAGCAATTATGATTTGAAAGAGACCAAAATCCTGGAGCTGGAAAGAGTTGAGGACACAAGTAATTAAGTCGTGTTGCAATTCTTGCACTAGATTTCAAAATGGGAATCTCTACATTCTTCCTGCAAACAGCATGAGCAACCAGGAGTAATTCTAATAAAGCAGGTATGAGAACCAGAAAAAGGACTAGAAAGAAAATTAACACCTTACTTTTCATGTCCAGCCATGATATGCTGTGCAGAACCAAATTTCTTCATCCATTTTTGGTAATTTGAACAACTTACAACAGATGCAGGAGTTAAGTGAATTACACACGTCTCACTCTTACTAGCCTCTGGCAGGTTGCTCACTTGATCACCATAACTAGCAAGTGGTTGTACAGACATTAATGCTTCCAAATGAGATTCTGTTGGGCAATCGACAAGGAGTACAATGGGACCAGGAACAGAAGGACCCAAGACATCACTTGGATGAACCTATTGTGGCAGACAACAGTTACTTAAGATGTATTGAAGCCCGTCAAATTAAAGTAAACTAAACCATGTGAAATTGTAATTGAAATCTATCTGTCTCAAATTCCAATTCTTTTTCTAAATTTCCTTCTACCCTGGTTTGGGTAAATAATGTATTACAGTTTTGAGACTCACCATGATATTCTGGCGATCAGATTTCACTGAATTTCCAAGTTGCAGTTCACGATACTTTGGCCCAGGTTTGAGACCAAGGGCCTTAGCTTTCTCTGGATCAAATTTTCCCTTGATCTCAGGCAGTTCACAAAAATATACTACAGACATATCACCAGGCTTTGAGGCAGGCTGCTTTTTTCCATTGGAGGAGTCAAGGGTCTCTGGACTATGATCCATCCTCTTTTGTGAAGGACTCTCAGAAGGTGTCAGGAATTGACCTTCAGAGAGGTTTGGTTGTAGGATAATGGCCGATATTTTGACCACCTCATCATCAACAAGAACAATGGGATCCAAAAGCTTACTTTGACACAGCACAGTGGACTCATCAGTGCTGAAGATGGGCCCAAAGCTCCTTGTGTGAACCATGGCAGCATTGGGAATAAAAGATCTCATGGCATCTACTAAATACTTAAAATCTGAAGGGCCCCATACATTGATCTGCAAATTAAAAGAAACTATCATTTATAACAAATATATGTGATAGAGATGGAGGATTATATGAAGTTAATCTGCTACTTACAGACATCCCCTCTTCTCCTATGCCAGCCAAAGTAAGCAGTAAACCTGTGAGTTAAAGACCAATTATGAGTATTTCAAAGGCTCTTCTCGTTGGATCGCTAGTTTAAATATCAAATTTCAGTAGTTCAGTAAAGCATAATTACAATTTAAATATCAAACTTTAGTATCTTAGTTAGGAAAATATGCTATCTTCTGCCTTATATTATATGGAAAATGACTAAAACCACAAGATTATTAATAATCCTAGACACAGACCTGGAAGCCCACCCGCAGTCTCAGAACAGACTCGAGAAAGAAATATGTGATCAATCTGAAGAAAGATGAACAACAGTAAGAATACGAAATGCAAAATTGTAACAAAATATCTTTTCATGAGTTCATAATAAGTAATGCTTAAGATATAAAATCACATTAGAAGAAAAAAGTTGTTCAAGTTCAAGATATATAACACCTTTGATAACTTTATCTTATGCTCCGTGCAAAACCGTTGTAGTCCCTGAATGAAATACAACATAAATTCATTTCAATAAATCTTTAGAAGGCATTCATTAAACATTCAATGATAAAATATAAAAAAAAGAGTTAGACAATAAACTTAAAGACAGACAGAGATAAGAAAACAGATAATAATATCATAGAATATTCTAATGCAACTCTCAGACAAGACTTACCTCCCCTGCATTGAATATAAATCTTTGTTTATCAAAGAAAAGCAGTACTGCAGGTGAAGTATCTTGAGTATCCATTCCAGTTCCCAATATCTATGGTTCACACCAGAAGTAAACAAATTTGTAAATAGAAATCTTCTGCTTACCATAACAAGTTAAAATACAAAAGACATCAAATTACTATGAACAATCAAATTAGCAGAAAGAGATTTAGTTAGTAACCTGCACATATGATATGGTATTGATGGGATTTAACTTGCGAGATTTCAATTGCAAGTGCTTCTTGGGGAAATCATTCTTGTCTCTGCCTTCAGCTCTTTTCTTGTTGAAACCAACACCAACGGAGGTGGTTTCTTCCACTTCCATTGGCTTCGTGGTTTCTCTGGTGATGTTTCTGCGACCAAGATAGAGAGCGGGAACTTTACGGTGTCGTCTTGAGGAAGAAGAGGCGAGAACAGTGAAGAGAGATTGGGATTGGAAACGGAAATGGAATGTGGGTTTGGAGAGAGAAAGAGAAGGAAGGAAAAGATGACGAAAGTTTGAAACTTGGGCCATTGCGTTTAATTGGTCTTTACCGGTTAAGGGTTTTAGCCATGGGGACGATTAACCCCCCTCCTCATTGTTTTTGGTTTGGTTTTCTAATTTCACCATCTTGATTGGGTTCCATTTATTGGGTTCAATCAACGATTATATTTATTTTTATCTTTATATGTTTATAATTTTTTATATTTAATGTAAAAATATTAAATATAAAAGTAAAAATAAATATAAAATATTAAATATGAGAAATCATAATTAAACAGGTTGACAGGGGTTCGATCTCTGGCCGTGCGTATGAAAAAGACTTTGTTAGGAGAGGTTTATCCACTTAATGTGATCTCCCGCCTCGAAAGGATTAGTCTTCGGCTGTCGGCTGGAGGATACCTTGGAAAACCAATATATATATACATATATATATATATAACTGTTGGATCAACATAATTAATCTAACCATGAAATTGATTAAAAGTAACATTTGTAATAACTCTAATTGGTTATTACAATATCCTTCTCTGTTTTTCTTTGCCGTTTTTTATTTTTATTTTTTCTCCTAAGATTAGGGGTTTTTTTTTTTCAAATATAAAGTAAAGGACGATTATATTTATTACATGATTGATTACCATTAAATTATTTTGAAATCAACAATTAAAAATTGAAAAAAATAACTGTCATTTATTTTAGATTGATCCAATTGTAACTAATTAAGTAGTAAAAATAATAAAACTAAAATGGTGATAAGTATAATCATTTTCTATAAATTAATATAATTAGGTTTTCTTTACGAGAGAGATTATATTTATATCTTTTTACTTACAATCTCTTATAATCAAATCTACTGTTAAATTAGCAAAAATGAATGGTTATAAGAAATTGTAACTAAAAAAATGGTAAATATAACCTTCCTCTTTCTTTATCATTATCGTTGATAAAGTTTGACCTTCTCATTTCTTAAAGGAAAAAATGTTTTTGCAGTTACTGCAAATAAGTTATCTGTATTTAAGCATACAAAAAAAAAAGTTATCTGTATTTATTCCCAAAACGACATCATTTTGGTATTAAAATCTTAAAAAATTATAAACATAAAGACTATTATAACTCTTAAATAAATTAAAATTACAAAAACACTATAATTTTCATCCTAAAACGACGACGTATTAAGCTTACTGCAGATAACTTAAGAGAAATTGGCTTTGAAACGATAAGCCTACGACCCAGTCATTTAATTTCCCTTTTTGGATACTCTTCTTCTAGTAATCATCATAGACTATTTGTATATGAAATTCACGTTAAGATATTGATAATACAATTGAATCACAAGGTCTTCTGTTTTTGCTTCTTAATTATCGGATGCTCGGACTTTTGTGGCTAGCTCTGCAGTAATTGCAGAAAAAATGAACCCTCTCTTAAAAACCTTATCACTTTTGAATATGTCGCATTTCTTTAACTTACTTGACTTTTGATTAATTTATACATTGAAAAGGGACAAAGTCCATTCACATTCGTGTGTGTAGCAAACTTCCATTTGGAATAAATTACCACAAACTCTCCACATCTTCGGTTACAAAAGTCTAACTTGAATTATAAGGCATGGCCATTGGCCACCAAATCAACTAATAAGATTGTTCCCCCTTAATTAGTGGTTTCCAATTTGAATTTCTAGAAGCACAATTGTGTTAAAATTTTGAAAGAAAAGCTTTGCCGTTGATATGGTCATATTTCACTTGAATAGAATTATATGAGTATGGGATGAACCGGTCAATACTATTCAAACAAAAATTATAAGGCATGAAAAGTTACTACCAACCTACTACAGTATATTAATAGTATTAACACAATCCTACCTATTATTGATATTTTTATGCATACTATTAATTCATAGTATATATGATTAATATATTCACAAGTAGAAATCAATCTATAAAATAAAAAATTATCGATTAAGTAATAAGAATTTTATTCATTTTAATCAAATGATTTAAATTTGGGATTTGAAAATATATATATATATATATATATATATATATATATATATATATATATATAGTTTTAAAAGAGTCACCCTATATATAAATTTGATAGTACTCAAACTGACTAATTGAGTTTTTATTAAAATGGTTGAAAAACCAAAACCAACATATATAAAAAAGGTTTGCACGTAATTTTGAATTCAATTTCGAAGGGAAATGGATCCTCTAATATGAAAAAAAACATGACATGATCATGTGAGAAGATCACAACCATACAAAAATAAATCAACGGTTATGATTTTATAACTACCTATTTTAATATATTTTCTCTCTCCTCCTTTATTACTATTGATCTACTTTTGTATGGTTATGATTTCCCCCATGACATGGTCATGTGATTTTTCAGATTAGAGGATCCAAATCCATTTCGAAGTTGTTTGAAATAATTGATCTAGCACTCTTACAGGGAGATGTGTTGATGATATCTACTTCAATGTTATCTCAATAAATTTATGATTTGTCCCATGTGTTTGTAATTTTTATTCATGAATTTTTATTTTTTTAATTAATTTTATAATTTCTGTCTAAAGATTTATAAAGTCATGAAGAAAAATTACTAACTTATGGATAAATGATACACCTCATAATTCATAAATAAAAGCTACAAAGTTTTGACATAATATGGTTAGTACTCTCTTTTGTGGAGGGAGTACCAAAGTGAATATCTATTACATTTTAATATTTTGTGAGTACTTGCAACATTCTTATATTATTGTCCTAATACCACCATACTCAAATATACTTGGATTTTATTCATATTTATTTTAGCGATAATGTGTGTCATTTTAAATGATATAAAGTTATGTTATTTCAAGTGAAATAAATAAATAAATAATGAGAGAGAATGGACAAAAAAAATATGACTATGAGTTTCACCTCTTTATGAGACTGAAATAACATAATTTATATCATTTAAAAAGACAAATCTTTTTTCCTTTATTTTATTGGGATTATGTTAGGAAACCTATTTTCTAAATTATAAAAAGTAAAAAACTGCATGCACAGCTGGAGTAGCTCAGTTGGTTAGAGCGTGTGGCTGTTAACCACAAGGTCGAAGGTTCAACCCCTTCCTCTAGCGCCGCCATTTGTACTTTTTCTTGTAGAAAAAAAACTTCACGGGCCTGTCCTTTATCTTTTAGCCCAACGAACTTCGTTGCTCAATATAGCCCACAGAGCTACTTGCCCAACTTCGTTTATTAATTTATTTCTTTTCCATCTTAACATAAATATATATACAAATATAATAATCTATTGTCCTAGTAGGTGTTGTTCCTATTCAAACCAATTCAGATAAGATCATCACAAGAACAACCACAAATGACAGAACCATTCTACTAAGCTCAAATTCAATGCAAAACAACACTACATACACTCAACATCAACAACAACCTTTTCTATCTTCTTAACAATCACAAATGTCGCTCCTACAATTCCAAATGACCTCTAAAGCATTGTTCTCTCTTTCTCCATCCTCCCATAACTTCAGACCCAAAACCCTCCATCAATCTAAGCGTCTCAACTTTGGTACAACCAAAGTTAGAGCCATTGGCACAGTCCCTGAGAGGGACTCAGGGACCACTGAACCTGAAGAGCCACCCTCTGTTGGGTTCGCATTTTTCAGTGTAAGTTGAAGAACAATGTTGTTACATGTATGTATATATTGGTTTTATGTACATTTTTAATCTTAAAATTAATCTCTAATGTTTTTCGGTGTCTCTTCTGTGTTGAGTTAGTCTGTGTTGCTACCAGATGGAACACCAGATGTGCACTACCGTTCTGCTTGTGGTGGGCAGAAGCTTAGGGACATAATGATAGATTCTAATATTGAACTCTATGGACCCTATGTAAGCTTCACGAACACAAACAATTTTTTTTAAAGAATAGTTGCATGTTGTTCTGTGACAACTATTTTATTGTATAATTGAGTTCATATACTTATGTTAATTTGCTCTTTTTCCAGGCTAGAGCTTTGTTAAATTGTGGAGGATATGGAACTTGTGCGACATGTATGGTGGAGGTGAGCTATAATAACCTTTATTGAATTACTATAGCAAGAAAAAAACCACCCTTTATTGGGTAATTCAGAGTAAAGAATAATGGATATATATATTTATTTATTTTTGCTTCATATTAAGACACTACATTTGTATAGTATATAGTAACTTTATTGTAAACTACTAATTGTATTTTGCAATTGCTTTTAGGTTCTTGAAGGAAAGGAGCTTCTAAGCCCTCGCACTGAGAAAGAGAATGAAAAACTGAAGAGGGTAAATGACAGAATGTTAACTTGATAGTCAGATTGAAAATTTTAGTCTAGCATAATAGTCTATGAACTCTGCTTGTGGCTGGGAAATTAAGAGTTTTGCTATGTGGGTTTTTCCTTTTTTTCCAGAAACCAAAGAATTGGAGATTAGCATGTCAAACAACTGTTGGTAAACCAGATTCCACAGGGGTGGTTCGTGATTCGTTACTCTTGAGCTTTAGTACTCCTGGTCTTTGAGTTATTATATTAGAAAATAAATGATTTTATGTTTTTTTGTTAAATAAACTATTTATATTGTGAGTGTGTTCAACTATGTATTGGTTTTTCATTCAATTTGATGCAGGTTGTGATCCAACAACTACCAGAGTGGAAAGGGCATGAATGGAAATATGAAAAACCTGGAAAATCAGAGTCTTCGTGAAGCATTTTTGTTTTTGCTTTATTGCAAATCGTGAAGAAAATCTTCGAAACCTGTAATTAGGAGTTATATTATGTCGTTTAGAGTCACTTCAACGAAACAAAAAAAAATATTATGACTAATATAGTAAAGCTTGTTGCATTTTAACGTTTTTCCTTCTTTTTTAAGCGGGGTCCACTTAATTGTTTAGTAGATAAGTTAACGTTATATTTGAATAAGAGGTAGGAAGGAGAAGAGACGAGAAGGATGAATAATCATACTGCATAATCATTCATGCTATTAGATTAAATTTGAAAATTAAATCTCAATTATTTAAAGTATTATTCTCAAAAAATTTAAAAGTAATTTTTTTTCTCTTGAATTGACAATGGAAAAGACTTTATTTCATATTAAATAATAAAAAATGACTATCCCCTTTCGTTAGTTAGGCTTTGTTTAGAAGTTTAGAGGGGAAGGTAAGAAAGAGGATCTAAGGGAGAGGGAGAAAAAATTTCTAACAAAATTATTTATGTAATTTTCACAATTGAAGAGTATACTCTTCTCTCTTGTTTGAAAGTTAAAAAAATAGTAAGGAAAAAAATGGAGGGTTAATGAGATATTTTTATTATTTTACCTTTTTTAAAATTAATATAACTACTATATTTTACAAATTAAATTAAATTTAAAATTTCTAACAAAATTATTTATGTAATTTTCACAAGGGAGGGGTTATATTTACAACCCAAATAGTTTACACACTCTTACAACCATATTTAACCGTTGATTTCGGCAATCAACGGTTGTCATTTATTATGAATTAATAATTAATTAATAAATTTGATTTGCGAAAACCTTAACCATTGATTGACGGAAATCAACGGTTAAGTATGATTGTAAGAAGTTATAAACGAAAATAAGTTATAAATATAACATTTCCCTTTTTACAATACTATAAAAGATCATTTTTTCGATAAAATTTCTACGTTGCAAACGACGAAAATTTCATCACAAAACTATTTTTTCGTCGAAATACTTTTCGTCAAAAAGCGACGGAATTTTTTCTCCGATGAAATATTTTACAAAAATAAATTTGCAATCGAAATTTTCAAAAAAAATTAGTTTCCATCAAAAGTTTTGATGAAAATGATTTCCTCCATAAAATGTTTTAAACGAAAAAAGAATTCCATCAAAAGTTTTGACAGAATGTTTTCTGTTCAAAATTTTGATGGAAATGTATTGATGAAAATTTCGAAGGAAATTGTTTGTCAAAAAATTTAAGGGAAATTTTTCAATCAAAACTTTCGACGAAATTTAGATTTTATAAAGAATTTTGACAGAATATTTTTTCCGTCAACATTTTTTATCGAAATATTTTCCGTCAAAAATTTTGAGAAAATATTTTCTATAAAACATTTTTGACAAAAATAAATTCCGTTGAAAATTTTGATGGAAATATGTTTTTATCAAAAATCTTGATGGAAATATTTTTTTTATCAAAAATCATGACGAAAATATTTTTTTATCAAAAATCTTGACAGAAATATTTTTTGATTGAAATGTGTTTTGTAAAAAAAAAAATTTGTCAAAAAGTTTACAAAAGAGGTTTATGTGAAAACTTTCGGCGAAATTTGAATTTTGTAAAAAAATTTGATGAAATTTTTTGAGTCAAAATTTTTTGATGGAAATGTGTTTCGTTGAAAATTTTGATGAAAATATTTTTCGTCTAAAATTTCGATGAATTCTTTTGTGTGAAATATGTTGAGGGAAATATTTTGACGAAATTTAGATTTCTTAAAAAAATTTGACAAAATAAAAATTTCGTCAAAATTTTTTACAAAAATGTTTTTAGTCACAATTTTTTATTGAAATGTTTTCCGTAAAAAAATTTGACGTAATTGTTTTACGTCAAAACTTTTGGATAGAAATGCGTAACGTCAAAATTTAAGAGGAAAATATTTTCGTTAAAAGTTTCGACGAAATTTAGATTCTATAAAAAAATTTGACTGAATTTTTTTTCCGTAAAATGTTTATGTTAGTGATTATGGCAAAATTTGGTTTCGTCTTTAGTTTTGATGCAATTTTTTTGACGTATATGATTTTCATCAAAAAATTCTTCACTATTTTTGACGAAATATTTGTCGTCGATAAATTATGTCGATATTTGAGACTTTTTTAATAATATCTCATTTAAAAATGATTCACATTTATGTAGTTTTCACATTTTAATGCTAAGGGTAGATAAATAATTTTTAATATTTCCCCCTTAAATCCTCTAAATTGGAGAAACTTTAATTTTAAGAAAAACAAGGGTTTTGGAGAGTTTAGTAAAAATCTCCAATTTCTTCCCTTCATTTTTTTAAACTCACAAACAAGGGAAGAGCTTACTAAAACTCTCCCTTTCCTTTCTCTCCTAAAACCAACATCCAATCAAAGTCTTAGCATTAAAATGTGAAAACTACATAAATGTAAATCATTTTTAAATGTGACATTATTAGAAAAGTCTCAAATATCGACAAAATTTATCGACAAAAATAATTTCGTCAAAAATAGTGAGGAAATTTTTTATGAAAATCGTCAACGAAATTAGAGACAGAACCAGATTTTGTCATTATCACTGACATAAATTTTTTACGGAAAAAAAATCGAGTCAAAATTATTGATAGAATCTAAATTTCGTCAAAACTTTCAACGAAAATATTTTCGTCCAAAATTTTGACGAAACACATTTCCATTGAAAAGTTTGGACGTAAAAAAATTACATCAAAATTTCTTACGAAAAATATTTCCTTCAAAATTTTTCGCAAAAAATTTCGATGAAAAATATTGCTATCAAAATTTGAAACTAAAAATGTTTCTGTAAAAAAATTTGACGTAATTTTTTTTTTTATCAAAATTATTTACGGAATGTAAATTTCGTCAAAACATTGTAGATACAAGGTATGTTTTGGTGATAACAAAATGGGAAAAAAAGAAGAAGAGAAGAGCATTGATAAAGAGCAAAAAGTATCTAGCATATATGGATATTGAAGATGTATGATGTAGCCACACAAGAAGAGTAATGCCATATCAAAGTGGCAAGATCATTAGATCAAAAGCAACAAGGAATAAATAGAAGAGCAACACTAAGATCAAAGACAACAAACCATGTACAACATCTAAGAGATGCTCAATATCATAACCATGATGAAAAATGATCAAAACCAACAAAGTGTCAAGTATTTTCATATCCAACAAGTCAAAACATCAAGCTCAAGTAAAAATTCAAGACACAAGACATGAAGCTAAGTCTAAAATTATATTTAGAATATATCTTTAAGACTTAGAATGTATGTGAGGGTATATGGTAGATTACATTGCATGAGCTCAAAGTAAACGTGTTTTTCGAATTGCATAATCAAAACTTTATATACATGAAAGAAATTTGAAAAATCCAAGAAAAGATCCTTGACATATTTTATAACTTCAAAACATATTTATCAAGTTAAGATCTTTCATAAAAAGTGGTTGGAAGTAAGTTAGAACACATTTGAACTTAGAATTTGCTGAATAATTTTGTTGCTGCCTTCAATACAATTTTTTGTATCCAATATAATGGATTTAGATCTTGTGTTCTTCATAAAAGTTGTAGATCTTTCTTTTATATTTCCAAAGAGACCAAGATCATATCAATTCGACAAGAATAGCTCAAGTTATGTGCAAAATACAAAACAATGTTATTGCTGTCGTATTTCCAACCTTTCCAACAGGTTGGGAATCGATTCCTTGTGATCAGGAATCGATTCCCACTCTCTGAATCGATTTCCACTGGGACAGAAAGCCTATAACGACTAGTTTTGCTAAAAATCACTATAAATACATTCCTTATGATCCTAAAACGAAAAGATCATTATTCCTACACATCTTAAGGATGATTTGAGAGCTTCTACACTATCATTTGCGTACTCTTTCATATCTTCAAAGATCAAACATATTTGAGCTCATATCTTGAAAATCCATATACCCATAGTGCTTCAAGTTGTATATCCACACTTTGAGAGTGTATATTCATTTCTAAATATTTTTCTCCTTGTATTCTTGAGTTGAAAGGGTTGTGAGACCCATTGTTTTAGAGGTAGCCAAACACCTAAGTAAATTTGGAGTGAATTGTAAGGTTGTGAAGTACCCGTAAACTTGGAGATTGTAAGGTATCCAAGAACCCAAAGTCTTAGTAGATTGTAAAGGTTTGTCAAGCACCCATGAAGCTTGACCATTAGTGAAAGAGTTGATCGAGCGACTTCAGTCTGGACGGTCTAACCTTTCGCTCCCCTACTGAAAAGGGGCACAAAGCCGCTTTGCACCACTGATAGACTACTTAAGATTCAATTCAAAAGGCCCTACTTAGTTTCGCAAGCCTTTGTCATTGTCAGTCAACTAAGTAGGGCCTGAGGCCCCCTGCGAATCCGTAAATCTGAGGAGCATGCCGCAACACAACAAAAGGATGGTCCCCTATGCATTTCATTCTTTCCGGAAGGGAAAAAAAAACAAGGTCACAAGTGGTGGTGACCGAACCAGGATATATTGTGTTTGCAATTCTCTAAACTCTAAACTCTTTATTTCTAGCACTTTAATTTCTTCTTTGATATCTTGAATGTGCTAGAATAAGTTCTATAATTGTGATATATTATATATTATGGATTGTTTGAAAGTATTGATTAGCTTTTCACATATCAAAGTTTGCTTGAAATGATTGTTTTGAAACTAGAAGAGGACTTTTGCGAAAATTTTATAATACTCAATCCACCCCCTCTTGAGTATGGAAGCCACATTCCTAACAAACATTTCCTTCAAAATATTTCACAAAAAAATATATTCATCAAAAATTTTAACGAAAAATATTTCCATCAAAATTTTCAACGAAACACATTTCCATTGAAATTTTTGATGGAAAAAAATTTCATCAAAATTATTTACATAATTTAAATTCCATTGAAATTTTTAACAAAACACATTTGCATAGAAAATTTTCAACAAAAAATATTTTCGTCAAGTTTTTTGATGAAAAATATTTTCATCAAAATTTTCAACGGAACACATTTTTGTCAAAGAATTTCGACAGAAAATATTTCCCTTAAACATTTTTGACGAATAAAATATTCTGTCAAAATTCTTTATAGAATCTAAATTTCATCGAAAGTTTCGAATGAAAAATTTCCCTCAAATTTTTTGACAAAACAATTTTCTTCGAAATTTTTGTCAGAACACATTTCCATCAAAATTTTGAATGAAAAATATTATGTCAAAATTTTTTATGGATTTCTTTTTTCATTTAAAATATTTGATGGAGGAAATCATTTTCGTCAAAACTTTTGACGAAAACAAAATTTCAATAGAAAATTTATTTTTTAAAAAATTTTCATCGGAGAAAAAATTTCGTCGCATTTCGACGAAAAGTATTCCAAAGAAAAAATAAATTTGTGATGAGATTTTCATTGTTTGCAACATAAAACTTTCGTCGAAAAGATGATCTTTTTTAGTATTGTGAAAAGTACATAAGTAATTTTTTAAAAAATTTTAAATTTAATTTAATTTATAAAATATATTAATTTTTAAAATGGGATAAAATTGGTAAAAATATCTAATTAACCCTATATTTTTTTCCTTACTATTTTTTTAACTCCCAAACAAGAAAAGAGAATATCCTTTAATTTTTTTCCCTTCCTTCCCTTACTATTTTTTTAACCGCCAAAAAAGTCAATAGTATTGATATGGTGATTATAAGTTTCGGTAATTTATGTTAGATTATGTGTTTAATTTTCATCATTGTAAGAAAAAAAAAAACCCGCCAAAACAAAATTTTAACAAATTTTAGTTTTATACAATGGTGACACGAAAATTATCAAACCCCTCTTGGATTATATGATGGGAAAAATGTGTGATATAAAATTGTGTCATTTTAAGTTAGAGAAAGAGATATATTATATAGAAGAGAGAGTGAAAAAAAATAAAGGTATACGTCTCACATCTTTATAAGAAGTAAAATGATAGAAGTTGTATCATTGAAAATCACAAAACATTTTTCCTTATATGATTCTTCAATGGAACAGTGATCAATGTATCACACATTGGTCACTTTTTTACTAGTATGCCACTCAAACAGTAATATTTGTCAAAATGCCACGTGTTCGAGTTTGCTACAGTAGGCAGAGAACTCAATTTGCTGATGTGACGTGTTTTTGGTGGCTTCGCTACTAAGTGTAGCGAACTAGGTGATAATTAATACCCTTCTGCTCTGACAAAAATAGAACACGTGACAGTATTATAGAAGTTCGCTAGGAATAATAGCGAACTAAGTAAAAATAGCTATTAAAACATGTGTCTGACACACACAAATTCACTATACTAAATAGCGAACTATGTGCCTATAAAAATATTTGCTTTAACTTATAAAGGACCTATAAAGTTCAAACAGTCAAATAGCGCTGGAGAGAGAAAAGTTAGGTGTGTGTGTCAGACTATTATTAGGAGGCAGAGTGCTAAGAGCACATAGTTCGCACTTAGTGTAGCGAATTTATGTGTGTCACATTATTTTTACTTAGTTCACTATCATTTTTAGCTAACTTCTATCACACTGTCACGCATTTTGCTTTTGTTAGAGTAGAGAGGTATTAATTATTATCTAATTTGCTACACCCTGTAGTAAATTAGATGGTCACCAGAAACACACCACATCAGCAAATCAAATTTGTTGGGCACTGAGGTGAACTTACCCGCATGATATATTGAAAAATAACATTATTTACGTGACATTTGAATAAAAAAATTAGTGAACAGTGATATTTTGATCACTGTTCCATTCTTCAATCCTAATAGATAAACTTCGCAACTTCTTGTGTCCTTTCAGCTAGAAATTCTTGTACAGCATGAGGACTTTGGACACCCACCGGCTACTGCAGATTTTAACGAGGGGAAGGAATCTTTAAGTCACCCAACTTTTTGCAATCTATCTTCAAATCTGGCAAAGGGGTCCCCGGGTACGCATAACGCATGTCTCCTCTCTACCTAAAATGTTTTCACTGGATGTGACCGTATATTTGTTTTTCTTGGCTTGTATTGTTTTGCCTGGACTCGTACCATTCTAACTTTTTAAGGTTAATAATTCTCACTTGCTGGCCCGCACTAACATATCTGATAAAACGTGAAGGTATTTCATTGCATGTCCATCCATAGCACTTTGTAATTATAAACAAATACATATTCACTAAACATATCAATTAAGTTTCTAGTTTTTTCGTTTCTCCACACTCTATCTACGTAGTCATGTTCCAACTTAATTATTTCCGTTTCTAAATCTTTTCTGTTGTATTATCCAGCTATTTTTTTTTTGCATTTTCCCTACTATTATTACCCTACATGGTAAAAGTCTAAGAGAATATTTAGTAGAAGAGAAACTTATTTATGTTTGAGAATTATGATTTCCATAAATATGTTGGAAAAATAAATTTCTCGAAAATATTAATAAAAAATTGTTTAGTGGGGCAAAATATTACCAGAAATATTATAAAAAAGCTATGAAATTTTCTCATGTGATATTTTTGGATAACATTTTGACTCAAAAAGCTTCAATTTTTTTTTTCATGAAATCTGATTTTTTTTTTTCCGAATTTTTTTTTAACAATTCTTATATCAAATATAAGTAAATAGAATTGTGAATATCAGTTTTCCAAAAAAATTACTTATACCAAACGCTCAACAAATTTCTAGTGATCCTGATTCACCGAACAATTATGCCTATTGATAATTCCAATAGAATCAAATGTTTTATGGTTTTTTTTGTGTGCATGCTTTACGCTTGCCCACTTTAATTTTCCTAATTTAACGCAGCAATTTTCTCTAAGTGTTCTAAGGATGTCAACTTCTGCTCAATTGATAGATGTCAATGGCACACTAATCCTCCTAGCTAGTATCCAAATTAAAACGTAAGCCAGAAAAAAAAAACTTAAAAAGACAATTTTTTTAAAAAAAGAAAAAAAACCACTACTGCTGCATTGCACTGCACATCACCAACCTCTTGAATTCTTACAGGACAACAATGACTCCCCAACGCTTTACATCTAAAGCAAGACAAAAAAAGATAAATGGGAGAAGAAAAGAAAGAAAAGCAAGAGTTGCTTTTCCTCCTTTATTACAGAGAAACAATAACTGGTACATATAGGCAATAATATCAATAAAATCAATAATCACTAGGCAAAGGTGCATGCTGAGAGGGCATGAAGACATAGCCATAGATAAGACCAGCCAAACCACCACCGATAAGAGGTCCAACCCAGTAGATCCAGTTGTCATGGAAGTCACCACTAACAACTGCAGGGCCAAAGGAGCGTGCAGGGTTCATTGATCCACCAGAGAATGGTCCTGCAGCTAAGATGTTTGCACCAACAATGAAACCAATGGCAATTGGTGCTATTGTTCCCAATGATCCTTTCTTGGGGTCAGCTGCTGTGGCATACACAGTGTACACCAACCCAAATGTGATTATAATTTCAGTAACAACACCTTGACCAACTCCAACTCCAGCAGCAACACCATGGATAGGAATTGTCTGAAAACAAATAACAACCACTCATTTAAAAATAAAGATAAGAGTCAAGACTTTTCTTTTATTCTTAGAATTTGGAATACAAAATAAAGGGTAGTTCTTTTTTATTTATGGGATAGCCATTAGCCAAGTTGTAATTATCAACTTTTTTCTATTTTTTGTCTTATATAGTTGATCTGGAAAACTCTTTAGATTTTAGCTAATAAATAATTCAGTCAATGCTGTTCAGGTAGGTAGGTAGAAGATTTGATCTATGTACTTAACTTATAAACCAGTTGAAAAACTTGGAAAGGTTCATAAATCAGGAAACTGTATTGAAACAGAATAATACCCAATGTACCCTCAATTATTATGATGAATAGAAAAAAAAGGCAGATATGACTCGGTTTATGCATGAAGGCTTCTGGTGCAAGAATGACAATTTTGCCATGCATGTCCCAGAAAATGATTGAATCATATGGAGGGGGTTCAGTTTGAACTTACCAAAGCTCCTGTGACAAACTTGAGGAGCAAGCATGCCACTATGGAGCCAAGAAGCTGTGCAATCCAGTAGAAGATACCAGTGAGGATAGTGATCTGGCCCCCAATAGCCAACCCGAAGGTCACAGCTGGGTTAACATGGCCACCAGAAATGTTGGCACCAACAGAAACTGCAACAAAGAGAGCAAATCCATGGCAAACAGCAACTGCTACCAAACCAGCAGGATCAAGAGCTGCATCTGATGTCAACTTAGCTGCAAACGAAGAAGAAAAGAAGTCAGAGTCATGTTGAAACTAAAAAAGCACAAAGTTTTTATGTGTTTGGTTTAAATACAAACTTCTGCATGTCCATAATTCAGAAAAACTTTGTTATAAGAACAAAAAATATTATATTACTTGAGTGTCACACTAGTGATAAAGAAGGGGCAAGGTAAAGATAGAAGTCTTAGGTTTAATTCTAGTAAAAAGCATAATAAACCAACCATAGGCTATGGCTGAACCAACACCAGCAAAAACAAAGATCAATGTTGAGATGAACTCAGCAATATAGGCCTTGATGGAGCCCAAACTGAAAGAATCATCAAAGCGTCCGAATGCTATGCCAGCCATCTTCAGAAGTTTCTAGGAGAGCCTCAAAGATGGAAGAGAGGATAAGATAAGGAAATGTTTAGAATTAGAAAGATAGCACAAAAGGCTTCTGAGGTGAGCTATATATATATTAGTAGAAATTGTCAAGTACAGTGTTAAGTCTTATTAAATAAGTTCACGAACTTGATAGTTAGTTTTGCAGTTGTGTTATTATTATTATAATTTTAATGTTTCTCATGTTATGACTATATATATATATATATATATATATATATATATATGAGGTAGGATCATTTGATACCAGTGTCAAATTTGAAGTTTGACACCTCATGTGAGAGCCATTAGATCTAAAAAGATCAACGACTCTGATCCTGCCTATATATATATATATATATAAAAGTATATAAAGTCTATATTAGGAGAAAAGAAATAAAAAGAAAATATACTCCACACTTATATGTGTATAAGAGATAAATTTATTTTTTATAATACGAGAAACATACAATAAATTCTATTATTATTAATGAAAAAAGCTCCTTCAAATTAAGCAAATAGTGATATATTTATTTTTAATAAGTCACGATTTACTTTGAATAAGGTCCGATAACTATATAGTGTATGTTTCGTTTGAAAGATAAAAAGGAATATGGTTATATATATGCTACGTATCAATGCATATCCAATCAGGTCCTTTTATTGCAATCTTAGCTGTCATTGGCGTTATTTATTAGAAATGTCTGGAAGCTAATGAATGATTCCTCCATGTGAGTAGTAGAGAGAGAGGGACAGAGGTGGTGTTTGGTGGGGTAGAATGTCAAGGAAACAATCATAAAATAAAGTGAAGAGTGAGGAGTGGAGGACATGAATACCTTTGGGCCACAAATAGCACCGGCCATTCTCTGAAAAACATTAGTGATCGTGAAATTTTAAATTGAGTTAAACATAAAATTCGCGGATGTTTATATTTTTAAGGAATTTATGTCACATATAGGTTAATTCGGGCTATATCATAGAAAAGATGTCAGCAAATTAAAGCCTTCTAGAGGAAAATCTTGACTTTTTGACTCCTCTGTCTTGTTAAATGCAGAAAACTTTCCACACAAAAAAAGGTTTGGTTAATTATGATTATGTCTTTATAAATTTGTATACACCAACAAACCCATTACTAATTATTTTGGAAAAAAAACTCTTTTAATGAGCTAAAATTATAACATCTTCAAATTAAATTAAAGACAATACGCTCTTATTTGTATATTTATGTACAACCTTAATTTATATTATCAATAAAAGGAGTGCTCCACGTGATTCTTTTGTCCTCTTTTGGTATGGGCCACAAGTTGAATAAAAAAGAAGTGGCTAGTTATCTTTAGGAGCTCGGTTACTATTTTGAACAGAGCTAAAAATTGCCACTTTCAAAGCAGCACAAACTGCACAAACACTGTTGAATTATCGAAAAAGTTACGTTCAGATCAGACACGCTAGCTAATCAAAGAAGTTTTGTAGAAGATGTACTTTTTTGAGTGAAGGTGAGATTTTACCTAAGACTGCCATTTCAGCAGCACATGTTTTGTCTCAATTGATGGTCATAAGCTAATAACTAATACTAATAGGAAACCTTATCAGCCAACTGTTGTTTAATAAAATAGGGCCATTAAGCTACAAAATAAGCTAACATGTTAGCATCGAGCAATTGTTTAATTTCTAATTTCCTTACCTCTACATGCATCATGACTCAGTTTACAAAAATCATTATCTTCATTAGTTTGGATACCCTTCCAAATTGCATAACCCCAGCTCAATTAAAAACTTAAAACTGAACCAAACATAATAACAAACTTGGGTATATCATTATTTTCTGTTTAGTAAACTCTTCCAATCCGAGTTTAAAATAAAGTTTCTTTAGTATGGTTTTGGACCCAAAAGTGGAGGTCAAAACCAAAATAATTTCAGTTTCAAGGTGACTAATTTAAATGTTCCATGGGTTATAAAAACATGACATCGAAAGTCATGCTATTTGATCTGGAAAATACCGGGAAGAGTGGCGTATCCTTAGGTACCTTGTTTTTCCATATATAGAATTCAACTTGTGAGATCTGCAAACGATAGTTCTGTTAATTCCAATTAGTAACTAAGCTAGGACTAGGTTTAGTTGCCAAGAATTATTCCACTAGATGCTCGATGTTCAGAAATTAAGATCAATTTGTGATGCACCCGGTGTGCTTATGTTGCTAAAATAACTTCTTTGGCACCGTGTGTTAGCAAAGAAAATTTTAATTATTTTCTATTAGAATTTGTACTTTTTATGTCGGATGGAATTCAAATATCTAAAAGTTAAAACAAAAACAACTTAAACATGTTCTCTAAATTTAATTTTAAAAAAAAATAGTTATAATTTTTAATTTTTTTCACAAATCAAACATTGTCAAACGAATTTTTTATTATTTTGAAGATTAAAAAACTGTTTTTAAAAATAATATTCAAACAGTGCCTAAAACTCAAATATTATTTTAATCACAAGTCTAATTTCAAAGTTGATTTCTGCATTGAGGTATGCAAACTCTTATATCACACGGCAAATTACGTCAGTTAATAATGTTTTTTTTTGTAAATTGTGATGCACTGACACATTAAAAAATTTGACGTGTCATGTTCGATACTTCTCGACACTCTAACACACGTTTCAAAGACTCAAAAAAGAATTTAAAAGTTGCATTGTGTTGCATTTTTAATTTTAATTATTATATTTGTTGGATTACGATTATCCTTTTATTGAGTTTAATATAAATATTTATGATATTTTATATTTCTTTGTAAAATTAATAGATATTATAATTTGGCTTCATTTTTTTAAAATTATAAAAATTAAATATATTATACACTATATAAATTAAAAATATTATTTAATATCAAAATATGTTCTAACGTGTCAAAATTTAATATTTTTTATAATTAACGTATCATAATATTATATCATATTCCGTGTTAATGTGAATAAACCATAGCCTGTAACCATATATCATATTCCCTGTTACCCTTTTTCGGGGTGCAGATGTTTTTTTTTTAATCCTTGTTATCCACAATAGTGTGTCCAAGGCATAACCGCATCCCTCTATATTGCGGATCTTTTTATTCTACCCTTATCTTTATATTTTGGCTCTGAATTTATGTGCTAAAAACTGTTTTAAAACTCGAATCGTTCATCGAACCGGTCAAGGTATTGAGTCACTGGTTCAATCAGGTTGAACCGGATTTACTGTTCACATATTAAAAATATATAAATATTACTTATATTAATAAAAATTCACATAAAAAAATTATCAATGAGCTTCAAAAAATAAAGTAATTTTCAATGATAGTAAATATTATATACTTCTAAGCTTCTAGTTCTAGACCATATCCTAATATTGGATTAAAATTGCAATATAAGTTAAATGCACCTTTTGTGCTTGACATGATACGGATAAATTAAATCACGATAACAAATAGTATGCATGAAATATACACTAAGAAAAAAGTGTCACCATTATCATAATAACAAATAGTATGCATAAAATATACACTAAAAAAAAAATGTCCACTGTTGAGATAAGATCATAAGACCATCAGTGTTTATCACCACTTAACTTCATGAGATCATTATAAGATGCAACTAAATTATATAAACGAACTGCACTAATCTAAAATATCTTATTATTTTCACCTTACTTTTAATCATATTCATCATAAAATATGAATATGATTTAATTCAAAAGTTCTTATCAATAACAAAAAAATTTACCAAAAAAAAAAAAGAATAACCGGTCTAACCTGGGTCAACCGGATCACCGGGTTTCGGCAGGGTCAACCGGTCCAATCCGAGTTGACTGCAGAAGTTAGACCGGGGAACCCACCGGGTCACCGAGTCTCGGGTCGACCCGACCAGTCCAAGCCGAGTTTTAAAACACTGGCTAAAAATACTCCGTCACTTAAAATGCTTTACTTACTACCACCAACTACAAATGTGATGTTTTTCATTCAGTTAAACTCTTGGGAATGAGTTTCTTTTCATGTAAACGAAGGTTCACATATAACCTATGAAGCATGGTTGATTGATATCCAAGTAATAAGTCTACGGAAGACTATCTTTCGCATGCCAAACAATGTATCAGGACAATATCTTTTTCCTTTTTTTTCCCCTTTGGCTATACAGTCAATGCCTTAGCATTGAGCTTGATATCAAGCTATTCCTCTGCTTCAATCTAGCTTGTCTGCAAGATATAATCATGGAGTATTTCTATTTCACACTTCAAAGTTCAAAGGGTGCATATTTCTGTGCTTGACCAAGTGGGTCTAAAGATGCGACTAGTACATATGTGGAGAGAAGACTTGCACAATTTTTTAATGATCAAAGGGCATCATGCCCTTCTAAATATAATCGTGGAGAATTTCACACTTCAGAGACCGCATCATTTTGCTGTTCTGTGCTTTGTAGCTATAGACGACTAAGTCGTTCCAACGATGCAACCAGCACATGAGAAGATGTTGATCATATTGACAGCGTAGATCATAATTTGAAATGGCAAAATATTTTGTATAGAATCAGTGTATACATTTATTTGGTGAGCTCAATGGCCCGAATAATCATAACCACTAACACTCACTCTACCTGCATATTTTCAGGAATGGTATGGCAGCATAACAATGTTATTACCTTCTTTTTTAGTTCAAAGGAGGTCTAAGAACGTAGAAACTGAAGTGGTGGTGAAGTGGATTCACTGGGTTTCAATCCAGCAATCAATCAGTCCCTAAACAGACTTAATGCCACCTACCCTAGGCTCTTCAATAAAAAATATGAGACAAATTAGGTTCACCGATAAGATTACTACCCCAAGCCCTCTGATCTATACTGCTTTTAACTTGCCACAAGTGTCAAAATAATCAACCTTTTCATTCTGAACATTAGCAGCTCATATCAGCTATTAAAGAAAATCTAGAGATGTTCCAAAAGGAAGAAGAAGCGCATTTTTTTTTTTTTGGGTGGGGGAGGCTGGTGTTAAAGGAGAATAAAAAAAAATTACTCAAAAAGGAGAAGAAAATGGTAGCAGCACCTTGTCCTATGCCTTGAATTCATCACAGCTGCACGCAATTGCAATTCAAGATGAGAAAAATCTTGGATAACTACTGAAAACAAACCAAGAAGATAAAAACACTCCCTTCCTTTCATCAAGTGCCATCAGACATGGAGTTAGATGTCCATAGATTATGTAATGTTTTCTTTCCGGATCTAGTGGCGCACAACCATTTCCTTGGGATCTCATGATCATCACTAGTTACACTTGGCACATGCCAACTACCGTTTTCTGATTCCTGCAATTATATTACCCAACAGCTTATTTATCTTCCATGGAAATATTTAGCGTGCAAGCGGAAGTAGACAACCCCCATACCCCTCAGAATGGGACAAAAATTTGAGCCCAATCCATTGAGTACGCAGGTGTGACTTCTATTTCAAAGCTAAACTAAAAGAATTGGGTTATCGACATATCATTTGCTTGGTGGAAACATGCTATTTTATATTCAATTGAACAAGAAAAGCAGTTGGGTTATCATCTCACCTGAATAACTATTGAATAACGGGGAGGCAAAATTAGGGAAGCTCCACGAGCTGAGGCTGATACTCGAACCTGCAAACCCCAAAAGGCATCATCAATCCTTTCACTATTGGCATCAAAACCCCAAATACCAAAGTCATTAGTAAACGACAAATGGCACATTAGTAATTCAGCAGCAGGGAGGCTAAAGTTCTTGACAACTGCAATGGCCTGTGATTCTAACATGAAGACATAACAAACTTTGGCGAACTTAGTGTCAGTAGAATTTATGGTTAGGAAAATGAGTCAGAAGCATGATAATATGTATTATCTATACAAGATTTTTGTGAGGATCTTAATAGTAGGATTCATAAGCTTATTCTAGATCAAGCCTCCTAATTCTTCCATATTAGATTACCCAGGATTATGGTTACGAATACATGGTTGCATAAGACTTTTGATAATTAAGTTGGGCACAACATGCAACGGTCCATTTGTAATAAAAAAAAAAATCCTCTATGATGTGGTTTTTGAGATCTCGCTGTGGCCTTGGGTAGCCAATATTCATGGATATAGAAGACTAGCAGTATTCAGAATAGCCTTATAACTAAGGCATCTTGATAGGGGGTTATACTGTATAGTGTATGGGAACTTCACTGATAGCTTAGAATACCTGGTGCTTTTCTTTCCATCTCGGAAAAAATCCAGAACCTAGTAATTGGAACAAATGGTCCCTCATCTCGTCATTTGTCAACAGTAAGCATTTACAACTAACAGCAGCATATAACCAGTACCTGTGATAAACAAAACAACATTTTAGTACAACTGAGTTGTTGGATAGATACAGATACAGATATATTGAAGAATATATATTCCTATCAACGATTGAAAAGTTGGAGTCGGCAACATGGATCAATCAACACCATTAGGCTCATTGGAAATACATAATAAGAAAAAAATTGAAATTAGGAAACTCAATCTAACATAAACATTATGGAAGTACTTCATTACCAGTCATCATTTGAACCTTGAGGTGTTGCATAAAGAGCGCCATTATTTTTCCAATTTTCTATAAGTCTCCTGTTATTTGGATTCTGAGCAGGACCACCAGTTACCCGACTTACATGCAAAATTATAAGTGGCAATCTATTCGAAGGGCTCATTTGACGTAATTGTTGAACAACAGAATTAAGCTACAACCAAAGGCAAAGAACCGTTAAGCAGTTGCTTTTGCAATATTCTAATAAATTTAACAATTTCACACTCACATGCGGAAAGCTAAAATTATGCACGTTGGCAAGGCCGACGTTGGCACCATCTACAACAGCGTCAAACGGGCCATGCTGTTCAAGCCACTTCTGCAAAGTTAAATTTCTATATCAGACTATCAGTCACTATCCCGTTACCAATCCATTTATATATAACCAAATTGAAGACAGAGACAAGAAAGTGTAGGTACTATAATATACAACCCCTGTCATAGGTAACATAAATTTATAATTGATAAGTTCTAAACAAAGCAGTGAAGACTGTTCTACCTGAAAATGATTAAAGTTTGCCTTAACTTCTCTTTGGCAAGCCAATTTAGATAATGAGGCAGCAAAGTTTTCGGTCTCTTTTGTATCAATATCAATGCTCACAAGCTTCTCACCACATGAGAGGCAAAGGCCATCCTCGTTCACATGAGTCTTCACCACCTTCCATTGTCCACTTCCAAGCCACCCTTGGCCATGCCATCCTCCACCTCCCCGCACAATCCCTTCTCTTACCTTGTTAACATCCCAGTTCTCCTTCCCAATTTTAGTTGCATTTTCAGAGTTAAACCAATCCTCTATCATTTTTAAAGTAGATTCAGACACCTGTCTCACCACAGCTCGCAAACGATGCAACATCTCATAGACCTTGTCTTCATTCCTTGCATTGACACTGACTTCCAAAATAGCAGCAAGCTCAGGCTCTTCAGCCGTAACGCCAGATTCAATCATGTCTGTATCGACTTCATAAGCCTTCTCAGCATCCCCCATCTTGCAAAATCCATACAAAGCAGGTCCATATGATCTCAGCTTGGGTGCAATGCCAACATTTTTCATTTGCTTCAGCAATTCAAAAGCCATCTCAGGATCTTCCTTTGCAGCAGCAAGCCTAGCAGCATTCGTAAATGTAGCTTCATTTGGCTCAACTTGGTCATTCAACATCTGCTGAAAGATCTCAAACCCCCTTTTCAGAGCTAAATCCGACAAGTTGGGTGACATAGAACACAGGTAGAGCAATTTGTTATAGTGATCAATATTGAGCATAACCCCGATTTTTTGTGACTCATCATAGAGATGAAGAGCTTCAACAACATCACCAGACTTTGAGCACTGATTCAGCTTGCGTTGTAGGACTCCCTGTGGAGATTCATTGGCAGCTTTTCTCCTCGCTTTGCTTGAAAGCTTAATAGCACTTGTTCCTTTCGAAAAGTCATTATCTCGTGATTGAGCTAAAGTGCTTGTGCTCATGCTCATGGAGGAGAAGCCACTAGTAGCAGCAGTTATTGCGTGTATTGGCCGTGGCCAGTGGGATTGCGTCGTAAAGATGGAGAAAAGAGGAGTGAATCTCGCCGTCACTCGCAGCATCACAATTCACCAATTGTTTGTAAAATTAAACCAACAAGATAAGAGAACAAACAACCTCAAATTCATAGAATCGAATGTAGTACTAATAGTTTAGTTCCTAGGTAAAAACAAACGCAGAAAAAAACAACATGGGGTGGAATCAAAGATGCACGCAACACCTTTCGAATAGTCAATCCGAGAATGTCCTTGTGTTCAAAACCCTATCCATCTCCCGCTTTATCACTTCCGCCATCCTCTCTCTCTCTCTCTCTCTCCATATCTGTCTGCCAATCTATTTATCTATATATGAAAAATAAATCTTTAAAATTTTAATTTTTTAAATAAGTTTTTTTTAAAAAAATAAAAATAATAATTATGTTTTTACAATGCTCATATGGTAACTAAATTTAGAGATCAATTGAAATTTTTATAATAATTATAAAGTTCAATTATAAATTTGAACTACAAGAATTTATTGAACTTTTCTCAAAAAAACATCCATAAATGACAAAGTGATGATAAACCCAAGTATGCATAAATTGTGATTTGGTTTTACACGAAAAAAAAAAAAATTATAGATCTAAACCCTACTTGATTCAAAATGAAAAATCTCGTGCTGCGTGAATATTGAGATAGAATATTGAGATAGAATATTGTTACTGTTAATTAATATTATTATCAATGTCATTACTAGTTTATTTTATCTTTAGATCGATTATGTTAATTCAACGGTTATATTTATTTTCACCTTTATATGATTATGATTCTCCATATTTAATACTTTTACATTAAATATGAAAATTCATAATCATACAAATGTGACAATAAATATAAAGTATTAAATATAAGGAGAAAAAAAATTAAAAAGTTAAATCAAAATCGTTAAATCAATATAATCGATGTAACGATAACAATAATAAAACAAACTGATAATTACATTCATACTAGCAATAGTAGGAGTATCCTATCTCCTAAATATTATTCTGAATTTGTCATTGCACTTTAGTTTGATTAGATAATGAATTTGATACTTACGCTGATTAAATAAATGTATATATTGCGAGGTAAAGTGTTATAGAACATATTTTTTTAGCTGCGCATGATTCTTACCCTTTCAATTTAGAATGCGTGAGAATAGGAATTTATGAAAGTTCTAAGTTATGCACATATCATATGTTTGAAAGGTAACAAATAAGACATTGGATCCTATTTGATTTTTGAGGCAAATCAAATATAGAATAAGCAAATGGTGCAATTTTTATGTATAAGGTTTGAAAAAAAAAAACATTGAATGGACAATTTTTTTAATATATATATCTTTATAGATTTTATTTGTTCAACTAATAGAATTTTTACAGATATGGAGAACTTATAAACAGATTTGAACTACAGATTAAGAAGTTGAGGTCTACAAGAGGCCATGTCAATTGCCAAGCAAGACATTTGAACCCAGAGTTGATCTAAATGCCGAGCATAACTCTAGTACCCTACTTTTCCTTTTTCTTTCTTTTTCTGGGTATGTTACCCAAGTTTGTCGTCAAGCATTTTCAGTGACAGCTAGTTAAGTTTAGAAGACTTTAGAAGCAACTCCTAAATCCTTATTCCACATAGGAGAAAGTCAGGCAATGATCAAGAAGACGTCAATCATTCTACCTGCATATTTTCAGGAAAAGGCATTGAAGCGCAGCAATGATAGTATCCATTTTCATCAAATGAAAATCTCTGCGAAAGATGAGCTTCACGAATAAGATACTGTCCCCAGTCCTCTGATCCATACTGCTGGAATATGCCCCGTGCATCAAAAGAATCAAACTTTCTTGTCCACTTTGCCCTGAACACCAGTAGATTATATCAGCTATTTAAACTGAAAATTAATCTAATCAAGTTTCAAAAAGCAAGGGAAATTGTTGGGCGCCAAAACTAAGTAGTACTAAAACAAATGAAACAAAAAGGGTAGCAGCACCTTTTCCTATGCCTTGAATTCATCACAGTAGCGTGCAACTGCAAAACAAGAGAAAAACATTGATGACCATTGAAAATTACCAAGATTACAAACAAAATGCACAGCAGGAGGAGAGACAGATAATGGCATGATTCTGGTGGTAAAGTTTCCTAGCAGGGCCTCAAAGAAGAGTACAGTCATTTGGCAAACATTAATAATTTAACACTGGAAAGAGGAAATGATTATTTTGCTAGAAATAATGCATAAATAACATTTACAACAAGGGAATTTGTCCAGAAATATACAAATGCTATTATGATTCAAGTCAAAACATGACTAACACTGCATTAGAATAAATCTTAGACATTCTGAGTGAACATAAAGAAATTATAGAAAACCAATATCTAATAAATAGCAAGACTAGTCCAGTAAAAATGGCCCTAAACCCAAGTAAACCTATTGAATGTAGGTTACAACATTTTCCTGTTATTATTTAACCAAAAGAAGCAAATAGATAAAATGAATCCACTAAATTCGATTTACCTTCAGGCTATGTTTGGCATCATCCTCTAAGACAAGTCCAGCTTCAACATATGCATCAATTATGACTTCTATAAAAGCTCAGAAAACTCAAACAATTCTTTGAGAGCAATGTAAAATCAAAACCAGGTACGATCATTGATCCATAATTATGTCTAATAAATAGAGAAATAAAACCCACAAAAGAGCAACATATGTGGATACGACAGGCACGTAGAAGACGGCCCTCACTGCCAATTTCTTCCACAGGAGCATACAGAACACGGGCTTTTGCTATAGAACCTTTCATGCATTCCTGCAGGATTAAACATATGTTTCTCGGTTTAAAGTTATAAAACAAATCGCATAAAAGTCAAATTTGGTGGTAAAAGAAAACAAGTTTCTATCCGACACACACAGAGCTATAGGAAATCTTTCAATGAAAGCCTCAGTTTACATGAGTATTAAGATTAACATCTCATGATGCAATGCTAACTTTTCATGAACATTTTATTTACGAGCTTGCAAAGGGAAAGCTTTCAAATTGTTAATATATTATATAACTTTAAATGCAACAAAAGACAACATGCAGATAATCAGAGCGTAGGAATTCTTTTGGATATTGTATCTGTAAAATGGAGCTCAAAATAGACTCTTACCAGTCCCTTTACTTGTATAGAGACAGGCCGATTATCCAACGCTTCCATAACTTTTGAGGAGATACTCTGCAAGGTTACAAACATAAATACAAACAAAGAATCTACTTCATATACTATATTATTATGTTAAATTTAATAAATTTTACCTGCAAGACCTCAGCAGCTGTCTTTACACGGTCTTTATTCCACAACTTAAGCATGAGTACGGTAAGGTGAAACGTTTTAGGCTTGATGAATATAGATTTTTCAATTCCCAAGTCTGCAAAAGTGCAACATAAATCAGTGAAATTCATATTGAAGAAGATAGATCATAGAAGAATGAAGAAGATTTAAACAGAATAAATTGTAATCTGAAGTAAAGCAAAAACATTTAATCCTTGTTGAATTTCTATGGCAAAGTAAACTCATAATCTATGAAAGTGAATGGTTACCGGGTAATAACATGTCTTAAGAATATAAATATAACCATAGCATACATAAATGATTAACTAGAAATCAGGATTCAGGCTCCACAAAGTAGAAGACAGTTAACAGTAAATGTAACAAAACACGTATCAAGACATACTTAAGAATATTTATTCTGCTAAGTTGATTACACAATGAAGATAATTGCACAATCCCTTTATTCAAATTCCTTAAGCAATAAGCATCTGAAACATAGCAACACAGATTATTTTCATACCAGATGAAGCTGAAGACTTGGATGCTTTAGGTGCATAAGTGACAAGTGGTATGTTAGTAAGATTAACTTTAACTGATTCACTGCCGTCATCAACTTTAAGTTCAACTGCAACATCAGCATTTTCCTTTGACAGTTGATCCACTTCTTTTTTGTCAGTAGTATCCTCATCGGATTCAGTGTCAAGATTCTCATCCATGCAAGAATCACCATTTCCCAAAATAGAGTGTTGAAAATTGATGAGTTTGTTAACTAAATCAGGATGGATGGCTAACGGAAGGGATATGAAGTGTGAATAATCAAGATTTCGGCTCCTAACTGTCTGTTATGAAAAACAAGGAAATATGTGACTTCAAAGTAACATCAAGTCACCACCACTGACATAATACACTTTTAAAGAAACGAATTGGAAAAATGAGTTAAATATAGCCACAGATCTTTTGAGATTGAGAGACTGCACGAACGGGGAACTGACCTCATCTATTATAGCCTGTATCTTCTCTGAAGCTGAAGTCACGCTATCAATCGAACTGCCTTCTATGGCTGCATAAGACAATTATACCAATCATTCAGATATTGGATTTTATTGTCCACTCTTATAAGAGTTATAATGATGTAGAGGAGATCCCACTCCAAAAAACCAGGTTGTTAAGAGGGAATGGTAGTTCTGAATCTCACGCTCTGCCAATACAAGGCTCATACTTCTGTGTCACATAATTATGTTCTTGCCGTTCGATGGAATTGAGCTTTTGGTTATATAAAATTAACAAACACAACTTGAACCAACAACCCATAACATCATTATGAGTCATAACACATTCAATGTACTCTTTTAAATGTAAGAGAATTATATTCATGTCAAATCAGCTGCCACTTAATTAAATATCTCAAAGTATAATAATAATCAAAGTTAAAACAAAACCACAATAGAAAATAACTATTTAAAAGCATACCCATGCAAGATAGAGAGTGAATATGGTGAAGCCAAAAACTTACTAACAAATTCCTCTTCTTTTGAAGAAGGTAATATTATCTTAACCCCCATCTCCTCTTCTATCATTTTCTGCGTGGAACCCCTGAAGCAGTATTAAGTATATGTAATAAGTGTATAATCTAATTAAAATATCATAATCATATGCACAATATTCTACCCCTTCCCTCTGATGATAACAATAGCAACAAGATTTGTATAATTGTATCCCATATGGCATTGGCAACGTTAATCACAAATCAAAACTATTTACAATTCCTAATATGGATTACTATTTTCCTTTTCAGCTTATGCTATCTCAGGTCACACTTTTTTCTAGCCCTTTTATAACCATGAACAAATTATTTTTCTCTATCACTTTCTCTCATGTCATATTTAGCCTCCCATTCATCTATACTTTGTCTACTTCAAGTTGGCTAAGCAATGTCGATATCAATGCCAAACAGAAATAAAAAAAAAAAAATAGCTTTACCCTTTTCCTTTAATAAATCGAAATAGAGAAGCACCAGCCTACACAACAAACACAAAATGAAAACAGAGATGTAAGAGCTTCAGCTTTTGACAGTTCAATGCATAATCAAAAAAGAGAACCTAATTGAAGTATAAGGCTTTTCTACTTTTTATTTTAAAAAATAAAGATGAACTACAAATCAAAACCCAGTAGGCAAATAGATAGAACAATCAAATTTTTCTGAAAAAACAAGTGATATCATTTCTTTCCACTGTAAAATAGTGAAAGGGGGAAGGAAAACATCGGACAATAAACAATGAAAAGTAACGGAAGAGTCAGAAAAAAACAAGGACAAAACAAATCTAGTGCTATAGTAACCTTTAATGTAAATTGAACAACCAACAATTCAGCAACCCAAACATAATGTAAAAGGACCAAACAAAAGATATATATGGTAATCACTAGCACATAAAAGGACAAAATGAACAAATATTGTTGGCAACTTCATAAATATAAACTACCAATTCAAGAAAATAAAAAAAAAAAGTGGAAATTTATAATCTCGCCTTCACAGAAATCGAATGCTTTTCAATGGAGAGAGATGAATCTCCTTCTAGCACTTTGTTCTCAACATTATCCTGCAATAGGCTGGAACTGGTCACTGATTCAGTAATTTCATACATTGGTTCAGCAGTTACCTTCATGAGGTGATCATTTGAAATAGTTCTAGATGTGCTACAAACCCCTTCTTGAACTTTGCCTCCATCATCTGACTCAATTGTTGCATCCTTTATCAAGCTTTCTGCAAAACCACATCATTTAACATGGATTACCCTACCCCGGCCTCTTTCCTCCTAAGAAGTTAAAGAAGTATTATACTTTTTGAAAACATGCTACTCAATGGCATCCTATGCTTGTTAGTTACCTTTACAAAACAGAAAATATATACAATACCGACATTCTCATCTGGTATAGGAACTATACCATAAACTAAGATCAGATAAAAGTGATTAATATATCTGTTTTACTACATTCCAAAGAATACCACCCTTAGGTCATGTAAAAGAAATCATAAATATCATAAGCATAGCACAATGTCATTGGTACTACCAGGAGTTGATTGGGCGAAAAAAAAGACAAACCTTCACAAGAACTGGCATTAGTGGCAACTGGTCTCCATATAGAATTCATGATTTTTTGTTTCTTGCTACTGTCTTCAATGCATACTTTCTTCTTCCTACCACTCATCATAAAATCACAGCTTAAACAATGATAAGTGCTATGTCCCTGTTTCAAGAGTGGCAAGATTTCAAGCTGAGAAAGGAGTTCAAAACTCTTAAACAACAACATAACTAACGAAAAGCAGTGATTACAAAAGGAATTAAGAAAAGTGGAAAATAAAAGAATCACAGTAGTGGAAGGTGGGAACCTGAAAGTAATAATGTGTAGGCCTTGATGCAACATATGTATTGGTAAATTTGAGAACTCGGTCGACTCTGAAAAGCAAAAGCGCATCAAATCACATCATTAATAGTTCAAAATTTGGCGCAATTTTAGATGCAAGCTAAGCAATTAATTCGAAGAACACCAGAATTAAAATGAATAGAATGGAGTCTCATAAGATAATTTGAACTATATAACAGTTTTGAGATTACAGGCCCTAAGATTGAGAAATCAAACTTGTTGTTTTACAAACCTGAATATAGACCTGCAACCTATCATTCCAAACGATGATACAGATACTATCCACTGAGAGAGCAAGACCCGTTAGGTAACTTTTAATTTTTATTTTATTTTTATTTTTTCTTGGTGGCTGGGTGCAAAAGCACAAATTAATTCAATTTTTTTATTAAAAATTCAATTTCAATCCAGGCCAGAATCAATTTGAATACTGTATAAAAATTTAAACCTTCTCATTCATTTTAATCTTATTTCAATCCATATTATTATTTTTTTCATTTTATGTTGATGTGTCATGTGTGTGTGTGTAAAATACAAAGCAGTAACACGTACTTGGTACTAATAATTAGGTCAAAGTATTAGTGTAGTACTATTGGTGCAAGCCCAAGCCCACTAATATAAAGAGTATGAATGATGAGATAATAGCAAATTTGACATAACAGTGACCAAACTCCAAAGTGTCACTGTTTTATAAATTTTTTATCCAAATATCACTTTTTTTTTTTTAAAAAAATATCACATTTTTTATTATATTGTCACGCGTGGTAGCGAATTACGTTTGCCAATAATATTGTGACACGTGGTCACATTGTGTATCAAATTCACTACCACTAGTAACGAACTTTGTCCAGTCAGTTTTTTTCTGTAAAAATGTGTCACATGTCACGAAATCATTGGCGAGCGTGATTCGCTATCACTTATAATGAATTACGTCACGTGACAGTATGGTAAAAAGTATTATTCGCGTGTTATTTGAATAAAAATTTTGCCAAACAATGTTCCAAATTTGACACCGTCCATACCTCTTGCTCTGGTTGATGATTTATTTGGAGACTTTATTGACTCTGGTGTAGCTAGTAATGAACTGAAAAATGATGATGACACCTTAGCTGATGTATCATTCCATACAAGTGAGAACGGAGAAAATACGGATGATATATTGTCAGGGACATCATGTGAGTCACAGTCTGGGGCATAGATGTGTAGAACCCAAATTTGTTTAGTAAAGTTTTGCAGCTTGAGTGGAATTCAATCATTTTGAAGTTTGATGAAGTGGATTATTTATTATGTTGTCCTTAGAATACTTTGTCTAGCTTTTGGTTGATTCACTTGAAGACGTTGTTTCATACTTGTATGTGGGAAGAGTGGAAGCCCAATGGTTCAAACTAAAGGCTGGACGCATTCCCATCTTTCTCAGATTTTCTTTAATTAAATATTTTCAATCCCTTTCGGCAAATATTTATTTAATTTTTAAAATAAAAAATGAAATATTTTATATAAAAGAATAATAATATTATGGTGTGAGTGTTGGTAAAATTGTATTGACAAAAGAAGTTTTATTTTTAATTAGGGTTTCAAAAATATTATGTGTGTATTTTTGGCCGTCCTGTTTATGACATGGTATTACCTTCGTACTATTTTTATATATCAATTTGAAAAGAATAATTCAGAGAAGAAAGTGCGAAACCTAAGTGGTTGAAGAATAAATCTTTACTGCTACGATAGAATCAAAGATTAAGCAATATTATATTATCTTTTTAGCTATCATTTAATTTTCCTTATTTTTAGATGACATAATATTTTTTGTCCACATATCACAAAATAAATAACAATAGTACTGAATATTCAGTGTTACCGTAGCACTGAAACTTTATTCGTAGAGAGCTTTTGTAGTTTAGGTAAAGTAAAAGTTGAGATTTTTTAATCACTCAAATAAATATTTATGTGATTCTCGAGTGAAAAAGTTTGTATATATATCATTACTCTACTCGTTTAACTTGGAAGGTATTAATCCCAGAATTATGGGCCGGTTTTGAAGTGTCACGTCATGGCAACTTGGATAGGGATGCCTTCTAAAAAAATCCATAGCAAGAGCATTGGAAGTGGAATGCTTTTATCTTTATTTTTTTGGATGAACAAGGAAAGAAGGAATGCTTTTGCCTTATAAAGGACGATTAAGACACTAACGGAATATTAGACTCCCTAATCCTAGTGTGCTCATGGTAGTGACGTTTCATCCTCCTTTCTTAAAAAGAATGCTTAATTTTTCTTCCATATTAATTAGCATCCGAAGTCCTTGTCCAAAAAATTCAAAATAAGAGAAAGAAACGAAAGGAAAAGAAGAACAGAGGCTAGTGGTATCTGTAGACGTTGTCCGTGCCTCGCGGAAGACAACAACAAGTTACGAATTTCTGTAAATTAGTGGGGAATGGTGCTTCGACAAAGCAACACATAAGATGACAACAACAGAGCTGAGATGTTGACTTATTAGACTGAGCCTCAAATGTTTATAATAAGCATAGTTAATATTTAGGATTTAACAGTTTTTCCTGTTTAAGTTAAGGGATGAAATTATTTTTTACAAATCAGAACGTTGTCATGATAAAAATATTTTGAAAAAATTTATATTATAAGAGAAAAATAAAATTTCCAAAATATATTATATTTTTTTCCATACCTAAAAAACAATTAATACAAATACAACACCTGTGTGGGGCCTTCTCTAGCAATGTGCGATCCATTCCTCCACCGAGTCTCTTTGTCCAAATAAGTCTTTCCAAAGAAAAAGTAAAATTATCAATAAAGCCCAGTACAGTTGGTAGATAATTGAGTTTCTTAAGCATGTTGATAAGGGTTCGTTTTTTGGCCGTGCATATGAAAAAGACTTTGTTAGAAGAGATTTATTCACTTAATGTGATCTTCCACCTCGAAAGAATTAATCTTAAACTGTCGGCGGAAGGATACCTGAAAAATAAAAAATAAAAATTATAAAGTTTCCAAATAAGTCTCTTTATGCATTTTTTTTTTTTACCGCGTGACGTCTACTAATCAAAAAGTTTCCTTTATTTCTTCTTTTCTTTTTTTCCATTGTAATGCTAAACATAAACATTGTGAAATATATTATGTGAAATGTTATCGACGTGTTTTTTTTTTACATATTATTAATTATTTGATAAATTTTACGTGAATTTGTCTTATACAATATATATATATATATATATATATTTTAATTAAAATTGATATGAAAAGTGAAAACCTTATGAGTCAAATTACAAAATACCGTATTAAAAGATTATTAGAAATAATATGAATATATCAGTCCTCAAAAATAGAGAAAAGTTCAAAAATTCTGAAAAAGATTTTATTTTGAATTACTTATCTCCTTATAGTTTTTTAATTATTACCCTCTTATGATTTTTTTATTTAAACTCATCATTAATATTGTTACAAACTTAATTAATATGTTTATTTTAAGAAGAAAATAGACTGATAATAAAAAGGTAAAAAGAATATCAAATATGTTGAAAATAAGGATGGCAATTCAGGTTAACACGACACAACATGAATTTAAAAACAGTATGACCTGCTTATTTTGCTGGTTGAAACTACTTGACATGAATAATCTATCAACCTCAAAGTATGTCACTTATTATTTAAAGTAACACAACACAGTATGATATAAATAACCTATCAACCTCAAAATTTGTCGCTTATTATGACGATTGACAGACACAACATAATACGATATCACACAAATAATCAGTAAAAAAATTAACACGTATCATTTTTGTGTTTACATTTACAGGTTGACAAGTATTTTTCATGTCAGATTTTGCTAAAATGAACACAATAAAAATTTAAAAATGGGACAACTAAAATACAAAAATTTTGTGTCACTGTCAAAATTTATCACCTCTAGTTAAAAACTTACGATGCTTACATAAAAGATTAAAAGTAAAAAAAAAAGAGAAGAAAAAATATTAAATATGTCTAAATCAAAAAGAAGAAAATAGATTGAGAACAAAAAAAAAAAGAGAAAATATTGGAAACTTACAAAAAAAAAAAGTAAAGAAATTAGTTGTAAGTTCTTAACATATTTAGTCCTTTTTTTTTGTCATTTGTATATTTTCTTCTTCTGAAAATATAAAATAGGCAAATTAATTAAATTTTATAATAATTTTAAAGATGAGTTTAGATGAAAAAAACTATAAGAATAAATAATTAAAAAAAAACTTAGGAATTAGTGATTTAAAGCAAAATCACATGAATTTATCTTGAACTTTTCAAAACAAAAAAACAAAAAATGATATGTTAAAAGAAGGCGTTGATATTACATGTAACGCATTATTGGTAGGTAGATTAAGGGTCGCTATATACTCCTGTATGGGAGGGGAGAACTTATCGTTCGCTACAAAAAGCCTAACCATATACTCTGTTTCTGCTCAACAATCAATCCTCTTATGATAATATGATATCTCTCCCTACATACTCCCTCCTTATCATGAGCTACAGCTACCCCTAGAAACATTCTTATTTCGATTCTAAGTTGTTACAAACAATGACACAAACAAGTTGTTACGTAACTGCTACCAGCAACTCCTCAAACTCTTCAAAACCCCACAAAACAGAGACCAAAAAACAGAGCAAAACCAAGAGAACCAGAGAGTGCAGCAAGCACCCGGTTTACCACGGGGTGAGAATGCGGAACTGGGGCAAATGGGTGTCAGAAATTCGCGAGCCACGCAAGAAATCACGCATCTGGCTTGGCACTTTTTCCACTCCTGAAATGGCAGCACGAGCACACGATGTTGCAGCTTTGAGCATTAAGGGACACTCTGCGATTCTGAACTTCCCAAAGATAGCTGAGATGCTCCCTAGACCCCTCACGCTTACCCCACGTGACATCCAAGCCGCGGCTGCTGAAGCCGCCGCCATGGTGGAATTCGACCCTCCCACATTAGAAGAAGGGTCAGAGTCTTCAGAGCTGAGCGAGATTGTTGAACTACCTAACATAGAAGAGAGCTTCGACTCGGTGAACTCGAGAACTGAGTTCATATTTTCTGAGATGATGTTTGGGGAACAGAGTTTTATTATAGACTGTGAGTGTGGGATTCCAGTTTGGGATTTATGATTACGAATGTGATTCACCAATTTCATATTTGGTTCAGTTTAGTTTTTGAAGTTTAGTCATTTCAATTTTTTCAAAGGATAAACTAAACTAAACTGATTATTCTCACTTTTGTTATCGTCAATGGCTCTTTACTATTTTTTATCTCCCTCAAGTTCCATCCCTTTGTAAAAATTTATTATACTACCCATATTTGTATTGGATATTTTTGGAAATATATACCGTAAATATTAAAGTTATTTTTTTAATAAAAAAATATTTTTTTTCTTTTCTTTTCTTATAAATTATTGACTGACGTGAAGAAAAAAAAATGTAATATTTATATTATCTATTCCCGAGAATACATAATATAAATATGACCATTGCATTGAACAGTCTAAGTGCAACGATGGCACTTAGAGTAAATCGAACCGACCCGGTCGGGTCGACTCAGAAACCAATAAATTGGTCCGGTTGAAGCAACGGACTGGCCATGCATCAGAACCGGTATGACCCGGTGTGACCGTCGATTTTCATGAAAGAAAATCGGTGACCTGGTCGGTTAACCGGTGATCCGGCTCAGTCCAAAAAAAAAAATCAAATTTTTTTTTTCAAAAAATTCATAATGGACATATTTGAATATTCTTTTGCTTATTGACTTACATAAGGTATGTACCTACAACACTACTATTATCTCAATTATGCACTATACACAAAAATTTGATTTGATTTCAAGTTAAAAATGACGTTTACTGAACATGAAACTCTGTATCACGATCATTATATTTGTGTTTGATCCTTTATTGAATAATAATATGTGATTTATTATTTTCATATTTTCATATTTTTTTTAGATATTTGAGTTTTTTATAATTAGGTTCCAATCAATGGAAATAAGTTATCTCTGGTGAGCCGAAAACGATATTATTTTAGGGAGAACATCAAGGTGTTTTGTAATTATAATATATTATAGAGTTATATTAGTCTTTATCCTTATAATTTTTTAATTTTATAATCCTAAAACGACGTTATTTTGAGCTCACTAGAGATAAATTTATCTACGGTGACTGAAGAAATATTTTTTCTTTTATAATTTTTTAATATAAATTATAAAATTATATATAATTACCGGATCATACGGTTGAATTAGTGATCTATTGGTTAAGCAAGTGACCAGTACTTCAACTGAATTAATAACTGGACCGATTTTAATAATATTAGACGATGGTACCAAAAATGCTTTCCTTCCCATTCTACTCCTTTGTCAGTTTACATAACTTTTTTTTTTTTTTTTTTGTAATAACTACATAACTTTTTATATTACAAGTTTAACTTCTATAAAAAAAAAATTATTAGATAGAGGGTGGTTATACTTATTGTTAAAAAAATTTACAACTCTTGCAATTAAATCAATTACCATTGATTTCTGTTAATCTAATGATTATAATTTATTAAAAATTAATAAATAATTAATAAGTGTACACTATAAATTATAACTGTTAAATTGACAGAAATCAACAGTAATTAATATAATAGTAAAAATTTATAAAAAAAATTAGTAGTAAATATAACATCTCTCCATTAGATAATTGCTATTTCACTTGCAATTTTTTTTCTTGGTCGCCTGAAAATTTTAAAAAACTTTTATAAAAAGGTTTACTTTTATGTGCAATAGAAAAAGTATACTTTTAGGATAAAAAAAAAAAAGTATACTTTTAAATAAAGTGATAAGTGCTAACTAAAATACAAATTGTTGTTTACGCGTGGTTCATGGCAATTTGATACTTGACATTGCTTGTATATGATTCGTTTCTTATTATATAAGGTTGTCCAAACTTGATATCTGTCTCATTTTAAATAGAGTTTAAATTGGATGTACTTTTAATATAAAGCTTTTTATATTATTATTTTTAATTTATAATTATATAATAAATTAATAATACAATTATTTTTTTGGTAAACAATTAATAATACAATTTAAAATTATTATAAAGTGCGTATAGTAATGTACTTTTAATAGTTATTTTATGTATGATTTGAATACTATAAAAAAATTAATAACAATGTACTAAATTAACTCTTTATACATAAAAAGTATTTAAGTAGCTTTTTTTTATTTTCAATTAAGAGATCAAAATATATATTTTCCCTCTATATATGTGATGATTATTTTTAATTTAATTTTTATGCGTAAATTTATTTATAGTTTGGTTCTCATCATTTGTTTGTTACTGTTATAATATAGTATGTCAGAGTTATAACACAATGAAGTTGAAATATTATTTGTTTATAAAAAAAAGTTGAAATATTAAATTAAAAATAAGTATTATATAAATTATAATAAAATTTGTCACCGTTAAACTATAAATAAGTGGTTAAATTTTTTATAAAACGTGATCATGTTAAACAAAATAAAAGAGGATCGTTTCCAAGTTTCAATTTCTATTAAATGCTAACTCAACTATATATCTATAATGTTATATATATATATATATATATATATATATATATATATAAATATATAAGCGTATAACTATAATGTTTCGTTGTAAAACGTGGGAAATGAAATGATAAAAGATGAAATAAACAAGGCACATTAATTTTGAATAACAGGACAGATGGATATTGTGTATCAAAGAACAACCCAATATAGACCTCACAGGTCAATGTCTGAGACTGAAACTACAGTTTCAAAAAGGGCTTTGGTTTCGTAGTGTTGCAATAACTACTTTTTTTCCCTGCAAAACAAAACGACAACATAAATAATAATAAAAAATGGGTTTAATTGTTATCAAAAAAAAAAATTGGGTTTAATAAGAGTTATGTTGTAGGAAAAGTGATTGTGTTATGTTATAGAGATTCGTTTTGCGTGCCAGAGTTTTTTTTTTTTTTTTTTGATTTCAAAAATTGTGGGTCCCACAAAATGTTGTGTGTGTAGGAAAATTGTTGTGGTCATGTTAAATTATAGATACAAAACCCATAAAAAATTTGAAACAAACACTGTATTCAATAATTATCTTTTTTCTGTAGCTTTGCATGATAAGGAAATTTTTTCCTGTTAAATGATTGTTATTTATCCCTTTAAAAAATGGGGCGTAATTTTCACAGGGAGCAAACACGTTTTGAATAACGAGACAGATGCATAATGTGCATTAATGAAAGCACAATATAAACCTCACGTCAATATCAGACAAAAAAAAAATACAAACTCAATAATCGGGTGTAATTTTAATCAGCAACAAAAGAATATTTTCAATCGATTCCTCGTAGAGTCGTAGTTGTAACTTTACCAGGGTGAAGAAATTCAAACTCAAAACTAAATTAATAGACCGGTTCAGATTTCAAATACATGTTAGTATTTACCAGAAAAAAATATAATACATATTTATATTTGCATTATTTTATATTAATATAATTTATTATTTGATTATAATAAATCCCATACGTATTTTTTTGTACCTAATACGAGGCATTTTTTAAGATTTTCCAAAAACTGAAAGAGGTAATCATATTTACCTACGTTTGGTACAAGTTTTTTAAAATTTTCCCAAAAATCTAATTTTCCCAGGCATTTGGTATGAGAGATATTTTTTTTAACTGGAAAAAAAAATAGTTGAGGATTTGATAAAAAAAATTTTTATCCTGGATAAGTTACGAAAAAGTGTTTGGTTGGCCAAAATTTTGTCGAAAAAGTTGGCTTCATTTTAATGATGTTATGTTTGGTTAATGATAAAATATTGATGAGATACTTATTTGACTCAACATATTATATTCAGAATCTAAGACCCTAGGCAATAAAAAAAACCAAAGAATCAATGGTATAATTATTTGCCTTTGTGTAGTTGAAAAGGAAAATACCCGAAAAAATTATTTGCTGAGATTTTTTTCTCGATACCCATACCAAACATGATTATTAAATATTTCCCACCACATTTTCCCATCATTTTATACCAAATATCCATAACAAACACCCCCTAAATTTTTTTGGAAATATCATCTAGGAATACCATCCAAGGGTGGTATTTTAGGATTTCTATGGCAAAAGAAAATTTAATACAACTAAACATAACATTAAGAAAATTAACCCAATATTTCCGAGAATATTTTAATCTACCAAACACATTTTTGCTAACATACCAAACACATTTTTGCTAACATTTTCAGAAAACTCATCTCCCTATCATATTCCTAAAAATTGTAATTTCTGGATAAAAAAATTTCTTCTCTGTATACTCTGCGCTAAACTTTATTCAGCAAGAAAGCAATTCGGAGCGGGAGATTGCTAGTCCTACTAATATTTCTCTTCGGATGGGAAGGTAAAATTCGTTTTCAAGTCCTTTAATTACAATTTTATTAAGCTATATAACATTAACGATACAGGCAGTTGTCATTAATTAGTTAATAACGAGCTGTGTTAGGGAGAGGATTAAGAATTTATTTCTTTTAAGGTGTGTTGGAGAGTTTAGAGGGAAAATGAAGGAAAGAGATTCAAGGAGAAGAAAAAATGAGAGGTATTATCTTTCTCATTTAGGAGTTAAAAATACAATAAGAGAAAAAATAGAGAATTAATGAGATATTTTTACAATTTTACAATTTTTTTAAAAAGCTAATATAATTATTGTATTTTACAAATTAAATTAAATTTATAATTTCTAAAATAGTTATGTAATTTTCACATTTAAAAAAGGGAAAACTTCAACAACAAAAAAATATCCTATAAATTTCCTCTAGAATCACTTACCCCTTCTCCAAAATTTTGAACCATTTACGTTTTTATTTAAAATTTCTTTATCATTTACACTCCTAACTTTATCTATTGTTGGATGAGAAATATTTTTTAGAAAAAAAATAGACACAATATTTTATAAAAAATTTCTCATGATATAATATTCCCATATTTTTTTTTTTAAGAAATTGAGATAAGACTCAAATATTATGAAATTATGAAATTTGCGAGAAATCCGATAATATTCTCGAGGGCATAGCTTTTGTTGCTACTCAAAATCTTATCTTGCAAGTTGGGAACAACTTACTTACTCTTTCTCGAACTTTTTCATCCATGATTAAACAGATTATTGTTAGGCATGTAGTATTTTTGGATAACGAGAGATTATATGCTGTTATATTCTAGTGGGAGTCTTGAAAAATTAAATTTTCACAAATTT